TGGCAGGGCCGCCTCAGCCAGTAGAGTGGCGCCTGGCCAGGACGCCAGTCTGGTGGTCTGGGCGTCTGGGCTGGACGCCACTCTGGTGGTTCTAGCGTCTGGCTTGGACGTCCAGGCTACGGTTTGGGCGTCCATCCTAGGCGCCGGAGCCACTCCGACGGTAAACCGTGAATTTTAACGGTGACTTACCTCGTTTTCCGTCGACGACGACGTAGCTCCGGCGTCCCCCGCATCTCCGGCCTGCCCTCCGGTCTCCCCCGGCGAGCCAGTACGGCTCCACATTTTTTAAACCGAGATTATTTCAATTTTAGAAAATGGGCATAATGGTCACACCAAATCATATTTGTGGGCTTTATATGGTAATTTGCGGGCGATGTTTAGCGATTCACAAGATTTATCCCTCAAGGTCTCAAGATTTTTCGCCACCGGGATACGTAACATCAAAATTTCCTCAAAAAGCGTGGATAATAGCCTTCAATTTTGGAATTTTTTGACCTTTTTTCGCCCGAAAATAAAAATTGCCGAGATATTTACCATGGTCCATAATACCCTCCGGGAGTCCAATTGGGTGGGTGGAACCATCCAATTTGCCTTAAAACGGTCAATTTATCCTTTCGAAACTTGCACTGATTTTGTGAATTGAAGCCTACCACGGACATTTTTGACAACCTACAATGGTCATATATGGTTCGAAATATCATTAGATGACCCTAAGATGTATCCCTCAAGGTCTCAAGACTTTTCGCCACCGGGCCCTGTAACCTCAACAATTGTTCAAAAAGCGTGGATAATAGCCTTTAATTTTGGAAAATTTTGAACATTTTTTTTACCTATGAAAAAAAATTGTTGAGATTCTTCCCATAGACCCCAATACACTTCAGGAGTTAATTTAGGTTGGTGTAACCATCCATTTTCCCTTTAAATTGTCATTTTACTCGTTTACAACTTACGTCGATTTCATCAACTCAAGGCCGCCTCAGACATTTATTAAAACATATAATGATCATATATGGTTCCAAACTATATTATATGACCCCAAGTTGTATCCCTTAGTATCTCGAGAATTTTTGACACAAGATCTTAAAACTGCTGATTTTGGTCCAAAAGTCTGAAATATAGCCTTCACTTATGGACAATTTTGAACTTTTTTGACCCGGGAAAAAAAAATTGTCGAGATGCTTTTCATAGACCCTAATACACTTCGAGTGTCAATTTGGAAAGGTGGAACCATCCACTTTGCTTTTAAACTGTCGATTTACCCGTTTACAACTTACGCCGATTTCATCAACTCAAGGCCACCTCGGTCTTTTAAGAAAACATATAATAATCATATATGGTTCCAAACGATATTATATGACCCTGAGATGTATCCCCTAGTATCTCAAGAATTTTTAACACCGGATCCAGAAACCTCTAATATTGGTCCAAAAGCATGGATTATGGCCTTCAATTTTGGACAATTTTGAACACCGCGAACATTTATAACAACATATAATAATTATGTACGGTCCAAATTATATTATATGGCCTTGGGGTGCATCTTCTAGCATCTCGAGTTTTTCAACATGGAGTCTAGAAACTTTCGAAATCAGTCCAAAAGTGTGGATTATAACCTTCAATTTAGAAGGAATTTTTTTTATTATTATTTTTATTTTAAAAAAAGATAGAAATCTAGCAATGGAGTCTAGGTAAAATTTCCCAAAAGGAGAAATCATTGAGGAAACCAAAAATATCCCAAGGAGAAACCCCATAGGGAACGAGTTATTTCATTCCATATTTTTAGTTGCTAATTCCTTTTTTTGAATAGTTAGTTGCTAATTCCTTCAAAATCAATAAAGTGGCATTATTTTTTTTTCTTTATTAGAATAAACTACAATTAGTCAAATGTAGCATTGGTGGGTGGGGGAGGGGGGGGGGGTGGAGGGGTGGGGGTGGGGAGTAGAGTATTGTTTATAGCTTTATTTGAGGAAGGTCCAAACATCATTGATTTGATCATTTTCATATTCATACTCATATCCAAAAACGTTGGTTCACAGCAATAATGTTGAGGCGAAATCTTTGATTGAAAAACAAGTTACAACTCGCACTATAGCACAATGCCTATATTTACCAAAGGGCTAAAAACAAGAAATGTTCCACTAATCAATCTGCATTTCATGAATCATGAATGTATAGCCAGCCATTTACTAGTACATAGCTGCTGCTGCTGTTGCAATCAGTCCTCAGCTTGAATGCTGCCGAAAACACACCACTTCTTTGCCTTGCACAGCTTCATGAAAAAGAACCAAACAATCCCACCAGCGGTCATCAAGCCACTTACTAGAAACACTATCTTGGTTGCAATAACCATTATAAACACCAAAAACACTGATGGCACCAAACACATTAACACCAAACCCGGCAGTCCCATTGGAACTCGGTATGGCCTCTTCAATTGCGGCCTCTTTCTCCTCAGCCATAAAAATGAGGCGAACTCCAGCAGCATACCTAAACTGTAAAGGAAATTAGCTGACGAAATTAAGTCTGTAAACTTCATAAAAGACACTCCTAGAGTGATCACAGTTGATGCTAATATCCCCACCCATGGGGTGTTAAACCAATTTGATCTTGCAGCACAAAACCTCGGCAAAAACCCAATATCTGCCATCCCCATAACTTGAAAAGAACAACTACTCAGCTGAGCTTCAAACAGTCCTACTGCAGACAAAACAGCCCCGACCTCAATCCAGATCTTCAGCCATTTCCCAACAATCATTTGTGCAGCATCTGCCATAAACCCGGTCTCCCACAAATTCTGATCCACAGAAACTGCACCAGTTACAGCAAACAACGGAACCAAGTAAGCCAAACAGGTAAAGATCACGGCTATAAACAGCGCCTTAGGAAATGTCTTCTGAGGCCTGTCAACCTCACCAGCAAGAGTACTAACATTATCCCAAAAATTCAAGTTCCAAAATAGTGTGTTACCAAATAAATTCCAGTCTCTTTTAACCCCCTTTTGGCCTAAACTAAGCCACCTATGAGGATGAATCTGAGGTATAGCAACCAAAGACATGATTATAAATGGCAAAAGCGATACGACTCCAAGAGCAACAGCAGCATAACCCACAATTGTAAGTCCAGTATAATTCAAAAATGACAGCATTATTGTTGAAACAGTTATTGCCAAGTACCTTTGTAATCCTGAACTAAACACAGGAAACAGTTTCTCCATGTAGTCAATGCACAGTACTGGAAATGATGCAACATTAATCACCCCACTCAGGAACTTCCAAGTACCCATGATGGATCCCCAGAACGGGCCAAAGGCCCGCTCAGCCCATATAACAAACCCGCCATCACCGGGGTAAGCGGTCGAAAGCTCGGCCGTGATCAAAGCCTCAGGAACACTCCAAATGAATGGAAATATCAGAAAGCCTAACAGAGCAAACAGAGGACCAGCTGCTTTGACTGCAGGCTCCTCGCCGTAAGGCCCGCCTGCAACCTCAAAGTATATCAGGAAAACAAGAGGGATGAGGGTCAGCTTCTTGTGGTTACTGCCACCGGTGGTGGCCGTAACCGGAAGCTCTTGGCCTGAGATAGCATGATCTGTATTATTGGTTATCGGTTCATCATTTTGGACCATGGTATGTATATTTATTTTTGGGGTGCAAAATAATGAAAGGGTAGATCAAATAACGTTTTTCTGTAATCTGTATATATATATGGTAATGTTTTGTAGAAAGGGTGAAAGAAATCAGGGATTTCAACTTTAATGTAACAGAATCCTACTTTTTCTGCTACCTTTCTCTAACAATTATTTAATCAAATTCATGTGCAAAACATGACAATAAGTTGTAGGTTGCATATATTTATGTAAACTTTATAATATAAGACCAAAATGTATTGGAGTAAGCGAAGAAATTATGGAACTTTGTTTTAAGGGAAAAGTAAATGAAGAAATTGCCACTTGCAAGCTGGTCAGAAACAAATGTAGTTCACACAAAGCTGTTAAAAGATAGAATAATGGAGATTCTGAATCAATGATAAGATTAAAGAATTGTAAAGATTGGAGAATACTCACTCCGTATCATATTATTTAAACATTTATTTTTGTATGGTTTTAAAAATATATAATTCTTGGGATGCGCAATATCTTCTTAACCCCGTGTGCAGATTGCTTTCCAATAATTTTTAAAGCAAAGATTATAATTTACATAATTATATTGATTTTAGGAACTTAGCTTTAGTAGCACATGGTGGACTAGTTGTTGGACAAGTTAAGACGATTGACCCATAATTTTGGTGGTGGGATTCATTAAAAGGGAATCATCAACCTGTGGTTCGCAAATTAGGGGAGATTGAAATTTTTTAATAAGTTAACTAAATTTTTGTTCACTTATTTTTCACTTGGTTAATTTAATTTTAAGAGGCACCAAACCCGGTATTTCTTTCAAGAATCAAAGTTATTTGAATGGAATTATCCTTGATTAGATTTTCTAAATTATTTTTTCAATATTTAATTCTCTTTAAATTTCCCTTAAATTAGTGAAAATAAAATAAACAAAGCATAGTGTTTTTTGATTTAAAATAAGACATATTCTAAGACATATGTTAGATTTTGGGCCAAAATATTCCAAGCTCATAGTCTTGCACACAAATTTGTTAAAGTAGATGTTCCAAGTTATGTCCTTATCAAGTCATATCAATTGCAAAAAAGTATTAAGGGATCAATAATTTAATGTTAATTAAGTGTAATATGGTGTCACTTTAAAAATGTTGAATTATTTCCGTGTTGGGTTGTTTTTTAACGGCCCTAACTCAATCCTCACAAGGGAAATACTACCTCCGTTACATATTATTTGCAACTATTAGACATTTTTCCTCTCTATTTTATGTCAAATCGTTGCAAATAATATGTAACGGAGGTAGTATGATATTTTCTGTACCAGGTTTGCCACTTTTGTAAGTTGGTCAGCATATCAGTATCATCCAGTGACCAGTATGCACTAATATCTACAGTAATTAAGTAAATATGTCAGTATTATTTCAGATAAAAAGAGAGAAATTTTTTTTTGTGAACCCAGAAACCCCACAAGTCACAACATTCCCCGCCAGTTTAGTTCTGCTCTATCAGGTAATCAATTTCATTCCAATTCGATTATCAAAGTGAAATCTTTCGTTTGTCTCTGTAATTTGATACCTAGATTTGTTTTTTATGTTTGATTATATATAATTTGATTATATTTATATGCTTGTTTGACAGCAGGAAACTGATAATGGAGCTGTTTTTATCAATACCCACAATTAAACATTCTGATGCACTCAATTTTAAATTCCCAGTAATCCCTTTTCACCTTACTAGAAGAAATCTTCACATTCGCCCGCCTCGCTTTCTTGTATCATCAAAGAAATCATCTTTCCAAGGTAAACTTATATTTTCCATTTTATTCTCCATTTGATCACTGTATAATCAGAACTAGTTCATACTGTAGTATTTAAACTTTGAATTGTTTAATTTTTCCCTATGTCCAGTAACATAGGAGTAAGAATATGTAAATTTATCATCTTATTGTATGAAAATGCATTTGTAATTAACTTCATCAATTGATATACTGTAAACCTAGTTTTTGAAAGTGCTTTAGATTACTGCTGCAGAAATTGTATTGATGTTACAATTTAAGGATTTCATGAGAACTTATTTCTACTCCGAGGTCTTCAAATATCATTACTTAGTATTCCATCCGTCCCACTAAAATTGCCATATTTGACCTCTTTTGTTCCCCTAGAGCTGAGTGAAACTTGGCAATTATTGTGGCATGGAGGGAGTAAGTTAGAAGGTGTATTGTTAGTATGACTACAAGGCCTGCAGAAAGCTATAGTTGATCAATTTTCGCGTTCTGTGTCTACTTATTTTAATTACTGCTATACTGTATTGTGTTATTGTTTCTTGCTGATTTTCAAAAGGCTGTATTATCTAGAATAAGTTTTTGCCTAGACTTTCAGGAATATGCAAAGCCTAGACAACTTTCACCCACCAAAGAGCTGAGATTTGATGGGGATGAAACACCGGAAACAATCCTTTCAGCTCTTCAGTTAGATGGGTCGAATTCTTTGTACAAGGTCCAGTTGTGTACTAGTTCTATGTATGGATCTGAACTAAGTGATCAGAATGCTGGAATTCTTGTCTGTATAATTGACGAGCATGGTAATTCAATATTGGAGAGGATTCCTTCCATCATCAGTCAAGATCATATGCTGCAGTCAGAAGATGCTGTCACTTCTGAGGTTATTCGCTTTAAAAGAGGTGCAACTGATGAATATATATTTTTGGGACCGAAACTGGCAAGAATTCAGGCTATGTGGATAAGTCTTGAATCAGGTTGGTTGGCATTTTCTACACCTTGATTCGATTGCTTGAGGACTTCACTACTACTAGACTGCTAGTAGTTAACTGTAACTGTGGGATATCGAACTTATTTTATGAATTGGTAATTTAGTCATTAGGTTCCTTTTATCTGAAGAAAGATGATATAAAATCTTTCCAAATTGCTTAAAGCCCATGTTTTCCTTATTTTGAGTTAATTTCCAACAAAGCATAATGCTTTTTTATCGCATGTTTATATATACACGTTTAAAACTGTTTACATTATTTTATAGATTGTTTGATAAAAAAGAAAGTGCAAGATATAGAATAGTGTTGAATGTACAACATCCAATTCTCTAAGATATATCATACGACTTCCCCTTCAAAAAAAAAAAAAAAAAATTCATATGACTTTGTAGCATTCATCTTCATCTTTCCTTATTTACATTTAACTTCCTTTCTTCTGTTTCAAGGTCAGGCAGTTGGAGATTGGGTGGTGCAAGCTTGACAATTATCAGTGTTTATAACTATCAAAGGGAAGAATCTTATGCAAATGGGGGTAGTTATTGCAGCATAACTTGCAATTTTGAAGTTGAAGATGTTTTGCTTGGGGAAGGGGGTGACTTGGCAATGGTAGAACTTCGCCCTTGTCTGGTTACAGAACATTTTGGGGCTGATTCTGTCTCGATTATTGATAGAAATTCTTCACAAGCTGTGTCACTGGCAGAAAAGGGAATAACAAATGAGGATAGCATGAGAGAATATGAAAATCTAAAATATTCTTTGTTACTATATGATGCTATGCTCATTTTTGCTGGCACCTCCATTACCTCCATCACTGGAGGTAAGAATACAGGCTTAGCATTTTTTACTGGAGGCATTGGTGGCTTCCTGTACCTGCTATTCTTGCAGAGGTCTGTGGACACATTACCAGCTCCTGAATCAATGGACAAGGGAAATAACTTCAACAGGCTGTTTGGAGGATTGAAAGGTCCAATATTAGTATTTGTAACTGCTTTTGCTATTGCGATTTTAGCAACGAAGCACGACAAACCAGACTTCATAGCAGCACTGACTCCAAGAGATATTTTGGCTGGAATGGTTGGTTTTCTTGCTTGTAAGGTTTCAGTAGTATTGGCAGCTTTCAAACCTGTGTCGAAAATGGGTGTGGAAGATAATGATTGATGCCTTTTTTTGGTTTCTATAAATCGGGCTTGTTAAAGAGACTAGGGATATGATTTTTCTACTTCTTGTGTACAGAAAACTCTGTTAATAAAAACAATTATACAGTATTTTAAAAGCCTCTGTTCATTATGTTTAGTTATTGGCCATGGAAAAGAACATACCAAGAATTTGTTGACTTTCCATCTATACCAGTTCAGCAGACTATAGGTATTGCCCTGGTTGGTGCCTTTAAGCATTCTGGCACCCCCCCCCCCCCCCGTACTAGCCTCTTGTGCCTTGCATTATGCTGGAGGGTGGCTAGTGAGATCCTTCCCTCATAACTCCTCTATTTTTGATATTGATCCTCAGAAAGGTCTCATACAATAATCAATCTTAGAATTTGACTCAGCAAGGGCTTTTTCAGGTGCCCTGTTTTCTTAGGGTTGTGCCATAGTGGTGCTACTCATGTGACTCCCAAAAGTTGAGTGGTAAGTACATTGACTTTCAAGCCTGGTGTGGCTTTGGTTTCCAAATTGTGCAGACCTTGCTAAATTACATGTCCAACAAGTTTTTTGAGAAGCAACCTAAGGAAGCAGGAACACTCTGAAAAGGATCCCAATTTGATCCTGATTTTCTGAGAGGAAGCCAACATCAGGTGCCAAAACATGTGGGCTGAATATGCCAAGATCTTCTATTTAGGTATTTCAAGCTAATCCTATACCATGTACTTCCATTCATTTTTGGTGTGCGACTTAGTAATATAGATTCATCGTTGTCTTCTTTGGCCTCATTTTGATGTAGCAGGAACTTTACTAATGACAGAAGAAAGAGAAAGAGCCATATGGGATCTCTACTGAATTAGTCTCTATTTTCTCAATTGAAGAATGCTACAGAATCTGTAAAACCTCTATACTAAACTAAAATGGCAGTTTGGAGCCGTAGGATGGATGAACTTGTGGATGGTCCTTACTTCATATGTCTACCTTACAAGTTCAAAAGTGTAGGAAGCAGGGAAGACAGGCTTGACAACATCCTTAATGAATGCCTATATGACATGTTTAATAGTTAATACAACCTTGGTGGAAACTATTCAGAGATTTCCCCTTGAAATAGCATAAACTTATAGTTCCAGCTGCTAGGAACTAATCAAAGATCCCTTCTTTTGTCATAGTTAGGGCTTAGGTTTTTAAAGATGTGATCAGAGGCATGGCATTTTTCCATTTGATAAATGGAAAGATTGGTACAAAATTTTGTAGAACCTCTGCTTTTACAGTTACTAAGTGACAGGAACAGTTGGGCTGTTGAGCCTGCCAGTCCTAGGATTTTTACCCAATTATTCAGCTTGCACTCAAAGCATCTATTATACTGTACTTTGCTTGGGGATCGGGAATCAGCTCGCAAACAAGAAAAGTAAGTCATACTGCTATACTTGATTAAAATCCTGAAACAATCAGGAGCATGAATAACAGATTGCACTTTCTTTAAATTCAGGGGGAGAGTTTATCTTCTACAAGACAATCTCAGAGAATTCAAATTGAAGGATTAGAATGTTTTCTTGAAACATGACAGAGAAATGGAAGAGTTTCCTTTTTTTATAGAAGAAGCAAATAACGAGGGCAGGCACCATTATGACGCGAGAAGCCTAAGGTGTTTGTCATATTGATAATTCTAGTTCATGGCTGGTATGTCCTCACGACCTCACTCGTAGATTATTTGGTTCTTTAATGAATACTTCATTCTTGATGTCATCATCATGCTTTCTTTGTAGAATGAGTAGAAGTTCTCAACTTTTAATTGCACTTGTCGTCACCCTTGATTATACATCAAAGAATTTTGGACTAGTTTGAGAGACATGATTATGAGAATTTGATGAACATGACAAAGCATATCTTGCCACTAGCTTATTGACTGGTGCCAATCTGGGCAGGCTTCTATAAGGAATTACTAGGTATTGACTGACTGTCATATACTCATATTAGTCATATATACAAGTATCTGCGACAAAATCCTTGGTCATTCTATTATTTTTGCAGGATTAAACTCTGATGCAAGTACTGTTGAGTTATAATAGAACTTTTATGGTGACTTTCGTCAGTCCTATCTTGTATCCCAATTGTTCAGCAGTCATAGATAAGAATTGGGATACTACTGTAGTACTGTACTACATAGTATAAAACTCGAAGTTGGATGGAAACTTTTGGAAGGCTATGTTAAGATTCTCTAGAAAAAATGTGAAGGAAGTGAGGTTTTTTCTTGCAAATATTCATTAGACAATTAATGATGATGGTAAGAGAGCCATTTCAGCTTTAAAAACATCAACCTGCTCCATTAATACGAATATAATAGTATAATACCTCCCCAATTATATTTCCCTCATAAAAAAAAATCTCCCTAATTATATATGAAGTAATTGGCAACCTACTCAGGTATTCATTAATACACAGTTTTCAAAAGTTCAGTAATAGCATCACGTGTTTCAAATTGTAACCAGACTATTTGATCTGTACGACTGTACCTCTAATGCAATTCCAAAAGCATAAGGCTCCTCCAAAGTTTTACTTCCTTTTGAGTTTATAATCCAGCATAAATCAAGCACTTCAATTCAACTCCGCAACTGATAGATCAAAAAATTATGTACTGTTACCCATTAGCAGTGCAGTTTCTGCACCTAAAGCCTACAGGTGCTGCACCAGAAATAAACCAGACTTCATTGGTTCGAAAATTTAAGGTCAATAAAACTCCAAAAGCTGACTTAATCAGAAGCAAACCAACAGGCTCTCCTATTCTATCAAAAAAGGACATTGATCCTCTTACTGTATTACAAGAAGTTATTGATAAGCAGTCCAAGGGTATAACTCCCAGAAAACAGAACCATTTTGATCCTATCCTTCTTAAAGAAGCGTACAAAGGCTGTCAAAAAATATGTGCCCTGCATGCTACGAGCTATTATTTGGGTACTTCCATCACCTTTTAAGTTTTAACCTCTCTTGTTTTATTGTACTTTTTAGGATTTTTGAGTGCTTGATTGTATACCTCTTGCAAGTTTCTGATTTACCATTTTTTATTTATTCTGATATATATGTTACAGGAAGTTTGTTGCTGACTGAAGAAAGAAAGCAATTTGGGCTTTGTATGGTATGTTCTCCCTAGATCTGATTCACCAATAATTTTCAACTATGTAATATGTCAATTTTGATAGAATAAATTTTAACATGAAAGATGTCAAAATGTTAACAGCTATAATCTACCTAGAGCTGTAGTCAGATATTCAGATGTAACAAATCTGCCCCTTACCCTCTCCCTGCCGGGGGGGATGGGATAAAGGCTTTGATCGATTGATTGCTTAGGTCTCAAGTACGTTAAAAGAGGACTCGGGGAGGGTTCACTACCCAAACTAGACCAAGTTTTGGGTGAGGCCATCTCACATTAATAATATGCTAGACAATAAAAGCTACATTTGTCCGAGACAACAATATATTGTTGCAAAACTATAGACAAGATTTTGCTGCTGCCTGTCACATTGTTTTTCCTGGCTGACAGCTTGGGGCCACAGGACAGATGAACTAGTGGATGGTGAAAATGCCCATCTCACCGGTTCAGCTGTGCTGGATAGCTGGGAAAGTAGGGTTGAAGATATCTTTGATGGACGCCCGCATGACATACTGGACACCGCCTTGGCTGACACTGTCCAGCAATTTTCACTCGACATCAAGGTTCCACCTACTTTGTTATCTCCTTAAACTTCTACTTGTTTGTTTGATCTCCTGTTAGTTTTGTGAACATTAATTTGTGTTCATGATTAGCTGTTCAAAGATTTGTTAAAAGGAATGAGAATGGACACATGGAAAAGTCGTTACGAGAACTATGAAGAGCTTGAACTTTACTGCTACTATGTGGCAGGAACAGTTGGCTTAATGACTGTTCCAATAATAGGAATCTCACCAGAGTATGTGAGTTCTGCACAAAGTATTTACAAAGCTGCAATGTCCATGGGAATCGGAGACCAGCTGACTAACATCCTAAGAAATGTAGTTGAAGAGTAAGCTCTCATTTGATTACTGCCTATTACAGAATATTGGACTTGTTCAAGTAGTTGGGTTCATCCAATTCAAAAGTAAGAATGTAGTGCCTATTTTTCCGATGCAGTTCTTTATTAGGGAGAGTGTACCTTCCACAAGATGAGCTCAAAGAGTTTGGGCTGACAGACGAGGATATTTTCTCGAAGAATGTTACTGAAGAATGGCGAGAATTTACAAAGAAGCAGATAATGAGGGCAAGATACTATTATGATCAAGCAGAGCAAGGTATTTCTCGGCTAGACAGCGCTAGTAGGTGGCCGGTATGCAGCATTCTTCTAATATGAATATTTGTGGATTTGTTAATTGCTTAGAATAATTGGTGAAACACTGAAACTGGAGTTTTCCTGAATCTGATTAACCTAGGTGTGGGCATCAATGATGCTGTACCGGGCTAACTTGGACAAGATAGAGTCTAACAATTATGACAATTTGACAAAGCGAGCAAGAGTTGGGAGAGCTGAGAAGCTTCTTACCCTGCCATTAGCTTACGCGAAGGCCATGGGGTGGTGAAGTTCAGAGACAAAATCAGTCGCTCATTAATTTGGTAAACCTGCCTGCAGGAACGATTTAGTTTGTTGAATAATGGAGTACTGTACTTGTATTTTCTGGCCGCTATTCTAATAATGTTGTTTACAAATGTATGGCAAACTCCTTGATTGTAATTAGTGCATATTATGATTCATATTATGACGGGAGGTTGTCAGTGATATTATTATTTCCTGACATATTCTGTCACAGATAATTAGTATAGGCTCTGTTTGTGTTTGTTTTGACGTAAATGATTTGCATATTTTCCTTCTATATGTAACAAAGGAATATTTTATGTCTTGTAGTATTTGATTTGTAAAAGGGTGAAAAACAAGTTTGACAAAGGTAAAAAAAAAATAGCTCTCTGATAGGATAATATTTTCCTTCCAAGTGTAAATATGTAATATGATGAGTACCAAATTTTTTCCTGCGTAATTTTGCTTGTAACCAAGCAATTTTATAATACAGAATTTCCTTGAAAATTACTCCGTAGAAAATAATTTTCTATTAAAAACAGTGGGACGGAAATCTGAATTGACTTTAAAATCAGAGGGGCAGATTTGACATTTTTCCGTCACTTTTGCAAAAAACTCTGTTTGTTCATAAGATAATCCAAGAAGACCTAAAATAGCTTGGTCATATATTTGGGTAAAACAACCGGATATATCAAAATCAAGGAACTACTGACGTACTTAAACTCCCAGTCGTGAAAAAAACGTTGAAAATGACTTATATTCTAGTGGCTGTCCATTCTAGGCCAAACTTTCACGAAAATATAGTTGGATTTCATTATTTATGACAGCCAGTCAAGTTTTAAAACTCATGAACCTCCTACTTTTATGAGAAACAAAGTCCGACTTTGAGACAACTACTTCTGCTTCAACTAATCAACAACAAGATCAAACCCAAATAATATCATGAACAACTTTTCATTAGAGCTGCACTTGCTGCACACAAAGCCTACGGCTGTTGCTGCTGCACCCAAATACGGCCGTGCCTCATTAGTACGAAAATCCAAGGTTGCAAAAGCTGTACTCGATAGCAAGCCAAAAAGCTCCCTTGTTCTACCCTACAAGGGTGTTGATCCTCTTGTTGAGTCAAAAATCCTGCAAATCATTGAGAGGCAGTTTAAGGGTTTTGTTTCCAGGAAAGAAACCCGGTTTGATCCTATCGTTCTTAGAGAGGCCTATGAAACTTGCAGACAAATCTGTGCTGAACGTTCGACCACCTACTATCTAGGTACTTACATACACCTCTTATACTATTTTACATCTTAAGAACCTTAGTGTTAATTATTTTAATTTTTGAGCCTGATAAAAATGGTATAGGAAGTCTTCTGATGACTGAAGAAAGAAAGAAAGCGGTGTGGGCTGTATATGGTACGTTTGTCTCCCTGCTTACCCTGTTGCAGGTGCCAATCAAACAAAATAAATGATCAAGATGCCTAACACGGTTCAAATGATACAATTGCAGCTTGGGGCCAGAGGACGGATGAGCTAGTGGATAAGAACCTTGCAAGCGCAGCTGTATTGGATAGCTGGGAAAAGAGGCTTGAGGACATCTTCAATGGATGTCCTCATGACATAGCAGACACTGCCTTGGCTGATACTTTCCAGCGAATTCCCCTTGACATTGAGGTTTAAGCTACACGCATTTGTTCCTACTTTAATCTCTTTATTTCATGCAATTCCATTTTGAGAATAGTTTACCATTCTTGGTGATCAGCCTTTCAAAGATCTGATGCAAGGGATGAGAATGGACTCATGGAAAACTCGCTACGAGAACTATGAAGAGCTTGTACTATACTGCTATTATGTGGCAATAACAGGTTGCTTAATGACTCTCCCTATAGCAGGAATGTCACCAGAATCTGAGACTTGTACTGAAAGCATTTTTCAAGCAGTGGTTTCCTTGGGAATCGCAAACCAGCTAACTAACATCCTTAGAGATGTAGCAGAAGAGTAACTTCTCTACTAATATATACAAGTATTAAATATTTTTGACCTGTCCTTGTTCAAATAAGAGTATGATGTGCATCTCTTTTATCCAGTGCTGAAAGGGGAAGAGTATACCTTCCACAAGACGAGCTCAGAGAGTTTGGGTTGACAAACGAGGATATATTCTCGAAGAATGTAACAGAGGAATGGCGAGAATTCATAAAGCAGCAGATAGCGAGAGCAAGATACTACTACGAACAGGGAGAGCATATTGCTTCTCAGCTAGACATCTCTAGTAGGTGGCCGGTATGCAACATTGTACTTTCTACTACATTTAATATCCAACATATAAGGATGTAATCAGATTATAGCAACTATACCATATGGTCCATATCTCCTGGTGACTGGACAAAACTGACTCTTGCAATATATGAATAGGTGTGGGCGTCAATGATGTTGTACCGGAAGATTTTGGATAAGATAGAGGCAAACAATTACGACAACTTGACAAAGCGCGCAAAAGTAGGAAGCACAGAGAAGATGCTTACGCTGCCACTAGCTTATGCCAAAGCCATGGATTGGTATTCCGGCACAAAATCAGTCCCTCGTTGACATTTAACAAACCAGTACACAGTCATGACTCGTATTCATTATCCATTTGTAGTCTTAAATAACATCCTAGGTTTTTTTTTTTGGGTACAACTACGAGGAGTTCCCAGGAATTTGCAATGACCAAACCAACCAAAAGACTACGCGCCATCAACTGAATCATTTAATACCTTTCTTGTTTGTATAAGTTACACTTTTTCAAATAGTATCTCAAATTTCTTTAATTAGTGTTCCTAAACAAGTCATGCATCATAAAGAATCACTTGCTACGAGCACAGCAACCCTCATTCTCAACTTCATTCATTTGAATGCAATCGCAGATTATAGCAACAAATTTTCTTTTAACATACCTTTAAAAAAAACTTGTTCAGCACAAATTTCACCATTGTAATTAATAGGCTTTGTGCATTCTACTGGTATTGAGTATACAAGAAACTAGTCACTAGACATTCAATTTCTAATTTGTTCAAGGCATAAATTACTCTAGACAATAACTAAAATTATAATCAAAAGCAAGAACACCCCTCAGATAACAAAAAAGTAAAGATGCAAAACCAAGAACTTGAAACAGCATGAAAGGTCTCCAGAACCAATTAAGAGCACAAGATGTAAGATCGTAATGCAGCCGCTAAATACATAATTCTTGGGACTATTGAGGGGAAAAAATTATATAAAGCACCCATTGGAATAGGAAATTAACTATTTGTCTCTCTACAGAACCCCCAGCCCACGAAACAACCATTCTTCTACATTGAATAAACAAAAAAAATTAGAAGACAAATTAAAAAGGCCAAAAAAGGACCAAGAAAGCAAAGAAAATTTGGCGTTGATGATACCACAATGTTTTGCTGGAAATTGGTACATATCCTCCTACAAGCTCCCTAGACGCCTCTTTCGCGAATTTTACCATAATCTAGAAGCATGAAGTCAAAAGAAGATTATCTGCTGCATCACATGTGACTAGCAAATCCATTCATCACCATAGGAGAATAACAACCCCCAATCCATGAAATAGCGCTCAATAAACATAGGATCAGGTAGGAGGCTTTCCACCACCAGAAACCATCTTGTCATTGGCAACTTGAAATCACAGGAAATAATCAGGTGTCCTCCTGGTGACATCAGGCTCCCCTCTTCTTGGAGCAGGCTCAAACTGTGATAATATAGAATAGAATTATCAAGCAACTACCATACACGTTTGTTAAAATAACCAGCAGAATACAATAGCCTCGATGATTTAAAATTACATTGCACAATGACCGTGGCATCCTATCAGATCTAAAGAGAGTAAGCAGTGCATACCTGAATAAATGTGTGACCTTTACAGTCATCAACTTCCAGGATGGATGCCATATTTCCACACCGATAGCAGTAGTTAGGAGCACTAAATATTGTCACAACTTTTTGGTCCTGGGGGAAGATCAAAACAGCTTACATACAATACTTAAAAATTCATACAGAAAGATTTAAGCACAAACATTTCTAATAAGATATATTGTCACTCACATGTGCCCAGTTGAATCCCTCCATCACCAGTTGGTGAGCTCTGGCAATCAGCTTTAGGTTATTGGTATGGTTAAATTGATCAGATATGTCCTGAACAGGGGAAAATTTATAGAACATGAACAATCAGGCAGCTCCATGAATATGAAAAGAAGGTAAATAAGCAGAAGGGCGTCGTCAAAAAAAAAAAAAAAAGCAGAAGGGTGAAAATTTTACTTGGCCAAAAGTGTATCCAGCTCCCCTAGGTGATATACCCCAACCACAACGGTCGTCAGGGTCAGACCACAAGAGATCACACATAGGTCCCTCATGGGGAACTTCTTGGACGCGATCGAAATTCCGTATATTATCAAGGGTTTCAATGGATGGTGACAACCCACCATGCAGGCAAAATATTTCAGATTCCACCTACAACATCAAACAAACTTTGAGAAGAAGACATTTAAAGACATGTCAACACCGAAAGCAAAATGCACTGCAATGTAATATGAAACAGATGAACATAATGCAAAATTAATAGAGATAGCCAAGGTGTACTTACCAATGCAGTCAGCGGAAAATAATCAAACAAATCTGTGAAGGTCTTCCAGACATTGGCATTTCCATACCTGTGGAACAAGGGGGATTCAAATATGCATAAGTTTACATTCTACATCTGCAGGTACATAACTTAAACAATAATCAACTATTTGTACATGTCATTTGTATAACCTTCACAAAACAAGTGATAAGCTTTGCAACAGTTAGGCAATACCAATATATAGAAGCCCACCCAACCATAATATAGTATCCATCCTCCAATCCCTAAATACATCCCCCTTCATTTTATGGCACATACAAACAAGGCTTTCACCTTAGCCACATAGGCCAGCTTCCAGCATGATAGAGCGTCAGCATATTGCTGCCCCATAATTCAACCTAGATGGCAAAGTCCATATCCCACACCATCAAGCCCTCTCACAGGTTACATGTTGGCATAAACACAATGCACCATCAGCATAAGAAGAAGGGGGGATTGGGAAAGGATTTCAAAGATGACATACATAAAGATAAAAGCTATGCAAACAAAATGACAACAGAAAAAACAAGCAAACAGATCACAAGCCATTTGGGTGATTACACTCAGGGTGGGGTAGTGCACCTACAGTCAAGTCTCATCAGCATATTGATAGTTCCATAACAAATACCTTTTAATAATTCTGTTACAATCAACTCCACAAAAAGAATTTATCTAATCAGATGTATCTAACTGTAAGCATGGAGTTCCTCATACTACATATGCCATAGTCAGCTGAATACAGACTGGAAAGAGTTTGAGTGATAGATACTCACTTCCGTAGGCATTCATCATAGAAACCATAAACTTGAGTAATCTGCCCAAAATTACCACCAGGAAATTAGATCAAAGGGACCATCAGTTTAACATAAAAAATTTAATGATATAGCAAGTGGTCTTTGGGAATGAAATTACAAATAAGCTCATATGTCAATAGGAAGAATTATACCTGACGACTTTCATGATTCCCTCTAAGAATGGTGATCCTTTGGGGATAGCGGACTTTAAGTGCAACCAGGAGCTGAATGAGGAAAACAAATGCCCAAGCAAAATCAATTACAACATCAACAGATTCTCATCATAAGCATCTTCGCATATTATATAGTGTGATTCATACATATCATTCTAGATAAGAAGGTCAATAACATAAGTTCAAACATCATAAGCGGTGGACCCAGATAGGTCTGGTGAGCTGGAAGCTACCAACAATCACCATGGACCATGGCCAACCCAAACAACAAATACATTAATCAACTAGGCATAGAAGGGGATAAAACCAGCCCTATAAGCACTAATAGCCATGCCAACAAAGCCATGTTACAAGTATAGCCAAGTGCAGTCTCCTACTTTCCACACCGAGTGGATAGTAAGCAGAATCTCCTCCCCAAGAATTCTGGAATGAGATTGCTTCACAGCATAATTAAACACAATCCCCTCTAGCACCACCCAATTTAAGCAAAATCGAAATTTGAGCAGTTTAATGTACACAACTCCTTAAAAGAGAAATTGAATATTGTTCTAAAGATCTGCATAAGCTGCCAAACATCATCCTCACTAAAACAAGCATGACATAAAAAGAGTATATTCCTAACTGGCTATTGATTTACTTTGGCACGTAAGGCAATAGAATGATACTCACCGTTACAGTCTCCACTGAATAATATCCTCGATCAACATAATCACCCATAAATAAGTAATTTGTATCTGGGCACTACAATCAAAAGGAAAAGGCTAATATCAGTAACAAAGGCTACAATAAAACGAAGACCACAACAATACACACACTAAAATTAATATAAATATGGCATATACAATTGCATTAAAATTTAATCTGCTGGTTCAAAAGGAATTTTTGAAAATTAAACACAAAATATGTATATATAAAGAAATGCTATTCACATTCAAACATCAACAGCTATAGAGCCCCAACCAAATGCATACCTTCCCTCCAATACGGAAAAGCTCTGCTAGATCATGAAACTGCCCATGGATGTCACCACAAATTGTGACAGGACTCTTCACGGGCTGCGTTCAGACAAAATTATAAAAAAAATGAGGATTGGGTCAATGTACTGGCATGATCACATTTGAATAATCACCAAATATTTTGGATAAAGAAAAAAAGTTTAAAGTGATAGAAAGCCAAATCCAATACATGTTAAAAAGTAATTCAACCAGTAAACATAGATGCACTCATCCAAACAAATGCATAGGACAACCTCAGCAAAAGGGAAAAGACAGTAATTCCTACAAACCTATATGCATCATAGTCTAAAGAGTTATAACCAACTCAGGCATAGTCCATGGATACCAATAGAGAGAGAAAAGATTAATCTATGTTGCAAAATAAAAATCAATCCTGCACATCAAGCATATAGCTGGCTTAAGACCGACTTTGTCCCTCGTTCATACATCAAATGAGATTCTGGCAGGGATTTAGAATTATTTAACCAATTGCCAAAGCCACTTACCAAACTTTCAACATGTTGCTTGTATGCTGGCTCCCACATTCAACAAATCAATGAGGTACAGAAGAGTTGAGAGCGGTTATATTCTTCTAAAAGATTACTAACAGGTATTTCAGATTAAAGACAACAGGCACAAATAGTTGGCCACTTGGCTATAATCACCATCACCATCAAGCAGCGTTTAACACGGCCTATAAATAAGTTTGACATGTGGCCATGTGGGAATGGGATAGCAACATCTTTGCTACATTGCAAAAACAATACCCAAAAAAAAATAGGTCATGGAAGTTATACTCTTGCTAATGAATACGAAACCCATCCTCCAGTCACATGTACTATGTAAAATTGTAAAAGACAAAAGCTACCAGCCTACACCTAGGATCTCTTTCACATCTCTAGCTGTAAGCTATCTGATACAGTACCAAACATAAAAATAAGCAAGCACTAGCAAATATGAAGTCGCATGTAGACAGCACACCTGCACGTTGCTTTCATCCATCAAAATCTCTTTTGCCTTCTCACATAATGTCCTAACCTGCACGTTAACAAAAACTCATGTAAGCCGAATAGGGTGAGATAAATTGGTCAACAGCTTTTAAATTGTGGTTGAAACTGAACAGATTGGTCTCTTAGTTAGCCAATAACATGTAGTTGCAGCTGTTACAGGTATAGCACTTCAACATATTATATAATATAGCATCATCCAGAGCAACAAATAACCATTCCAATTTGATGTGATGTCAACAGTAAGTAAGAACCATTCGAAAACAACCTAAACTAGCATAATTAACAACACATTGGTAATTTGCAAGTTAGAAAATGTGTAAAAACTCTCTCCTTGAGGTACAACTTGATTAAACATGAAATCCAGCTTGCAAGCTTCAACTATAAAAGCCGGAAAGGAAAAAAAAAGTATCCTGCCTATAATCCTTCCTCACCAAGATGAATATAACAAGCAAAACACCCTCTTGTTTTCCTGCTATTTTTTAGCTGTGCCTGTTGAGATGAACTATTCACTCCATGTAATGAAACCCTGGTTTAATTACTTTCCTCACTTCACACTCACTCATCTGACCTGATTCAATGCATAGATTCATGAATTCAGATACTTGTTCGAGTCGAAAACTCGTTCTCAACATCCTTGCGCTTAAGATTGCCTCTTTCTTACCACAAATCCAGCTAAACCCAGAATTAAAAAGCTGTTTCTAGAAAACAAGATGGGCCAATCTATGACTTGCCAGTTGCCATTCAAATAAAATCCAAAATTTCTACACAAATTGAGGGTAATAATAGAAGATAATTAACGGATCTAAATCAAGTAAAAAAAAAAATCAACAAACCCAGAACAAATCTTGCAACTTTGACACATTTCCAGGTACCAGAAACCCACAAAAACAAACAAAAATCCCAAAATTAACAGATCACAAAATTTCGACCGAAAAAAAACCCAAATTGATGAAAAGAAATCAAATCGATCTAGTACATTCCAATCGAAGAAAAGGAAGAGAGAGAAAGAAGGAAAACCTCTTGTTCTGAGAGAGGCTTGCACTGCATAAGCTGACCGATCTGCTCATCAAGATTGTGATGAGTGTTAGAAGGAACGGGATCGAAACCCATCTTATAAGAAGAGAAAACCCTAGCAGATCTTCCAGAAGCCCAGGAAGAATGAAACCCTTCTTCTTCTTCTTCGTCTTCTTCTTCTCCTTCTCCTTGAAGATGGTGAGGAGAGAGAAAGTGGGAAAGAGAGAGAAAGTGAGAGAGAGAGAAGGGGAGGAGAGAGAAAGAGAGAAAAATGGAGGGATACCAATTTCAAGAGAAAATTGGGAGGAGAGAGAAAATGAATGAACAACGGTGCTGCTTCAACAGAGAAAACTAAACCCTCGCTTTTCTTCGATTACGATTACCACTCCTTTTTTTTCTTTTTTTTTTTTAAATTTTTTTTGATAATTTCAATTAGTAAAAATTATTTATTTTAGAGATTTTTTTTTTTCCGCCTGTAATTTTAAAATTAATACGAAGTAAGACTATTGGGTTTACTCGAAACTAGACATCGCCATTTCCAGATCCTCTTGCCTTTTTGTGCTACCTGCGTTATAGCGCGTGGGGTTACGCTTAACTTGTGGCTATTGGCAAGCTTGTTAATAATTAAATATCAAATGGGCCGGGCTGGCCCGCCACCACATCGGGTTTCAAATTGAAGGGAAAATCACCTCAAAAATTACAAAAAATCGGGTTTTTCAAGTAAAATGGGTCATCCTAATTTGAACTTAAATTACTAGTATTTTGTCTAAACTTATTTTAGTAGATGATTTAAAATCGGGTGTAAAATAGCATATAGTATGGAGTATTTAAACGACAGAATTTATTGTATTTTGTGTTCTTAAACTATTAGTTGATTCATCTCATTAAGGGTCTGTTCTCATTGACTGAACTTAGCTGAACTGAACTGAACTGAATTGGGCTAAACTAAACTGAACTGAACTGAAATGAATATTTTATAAGAGAGGGAAATTAGGAGCTGAACTGAACTGAACTGAATTTCAACGTAAGAGAACAGGCCCTAAGTATCTTCAAATATCACTTTTATATCAATAATTTTTTTCGAAGCATCTCAGCACAATTAATTGAGAATGTTACGGAGTAATAATTAGTGTGCCCTAGTTATCGTGTATAAAGTTATTTAATGGATAAACCACTTACCTTTTTAAGAATATGTGACAATAGACACGAGGATAACATGTTCTTGTATACATATACAGTAATAGGCTAAGGACTATGATTGAGGCTAAACATTATCATTCATGAAAAAAGCACAACATGAAACGAGGCATGCATTGCACGACACATGATGATGCTGTTAAACTTTTGCATGCATTATATCGTGTATATCAAGCTTATTTTTCACATATAGTATGAGGGCATGTTCCTTACGTTGAAATTCAGTTCAGTTTAGTTCAGTTCAGCTCAGCTCAGCTCCTAATTTCCTTCTCTTATAAAATATTCAGTTCAGTTCAGCTGAGTTCATTCAATAAAAACAGGCCCTAAGTCTACTTTTCCAATAGTTTACATCCATATCGAATTTGACCACCTAATACTATATATAATTTAAGGAGATTTCATCCCCTTTAAGCTGATTCTACCTCCTTTTTAGCTTAGTATTTATTAAAGACGTTGATGTTATAATACAACCATTAATGTGATATAAACTCAACCATCAATATCACCAAAAAATTGCTATACCAATCTGATTAATAAATCAAAGCCATTCACCAATCAACATATAATAAAAGCACACACCAACCAAAACTTGTGTAGTAGAATAATTTGCAAACTTTTAGATTATAAACAACACAATTACATTGATTCTAAATAATTTGTGTACTATTACTCCATATTTTACAAAAGACATTACTTCACTAGTACTTGTAAGAGTGATATAAACAAAACAAAAAGGTGGTGGCGAGTATACTAGTACTTGTAAGAGCAACAACAACTATCAAAGTAGCTACAAATACCATAAATAATACGGCGGGTTTGACCCGTAAAAATTATGTGAAAAGAGGATTGAAATGTTAGGGACCAAATATTATTGTTGAATGTTGATGATAAACTTCCTTCGTTTTCTCTTCTGGTAGTAGTTGGAGAGTAGAGGAAGATTATTTATTAACATCTCATTAATTAAAATACCTTATATTCCTCCTACTTTCTCTCTCTTACCACTAGTTTAATTAATTTTACGCATTCATTAATCATACTACAACTCTACTCTACTAGAAATAGCATACTACTGTATTCAAAATTTTGCATTCAAATAGCAAGCCTAATTTCACACTTTTTTCTTCCTCCAAAGTCCAACCCCCACCATTTTTTTTTTCACAAAAATTATAAAAAAAAGTCAAGAATTATGGTAAAAATACTGATGTAATTGTAAGGTGGGTGATCCCCAGCTGTGATAATATCTTCAGTTATGCATTGCTACCCCTTTTTTATGGGGTTGTAGTTGATTTAAGAGAGAGAAAGTTCAGTTTTTTGAAACCCTCTTTCTTCTTGTTTGCATCTGTAGTGAAATTCAGGGGAAAATAAAAGTTGGGTTGGTTTATTTGAGGTTCAATTGTTTGTCTTTGTTACCTGGGGTTGGATCAGATTTGTACTTTGAAGCTTATATTATACTCGATCTGTTATTATTTTTCTGGGATTTTATTTTTGGTAAAAAAAGATAGCAAATTTATTGTTTTTAGAGATTTTATGAAATTTGTGCTCCTGAATTCTGGATATGGAACGAGGTGCTGAAGAATCGCCAAATGCTCCGAGGGGTTTTCGTCTTCAAGCTCCCCTGGTAAACTCTTTTTTTTTTTAAGAAATATTTATATATTTAATCATCAGCAATTTTGTAGATTTTATTTTGCTGAATTGTGTGGAATTTTGTTGGATAAATTTTGTGGAATTTGATGGCTGTATGTGTTGATAAATGGTTAGAAAAGGTTACCCTTTTATCTAGGTAACTTATTTTTTGGGGTTGAGGACTTAGGTTCTGCAATTTTTGAAGGATTGTTACTCTTTTTAGATTTCCTTTATTGCTCAAAAATACATAGGTACTTGCAAGTTACTGGATATTTTTCTCGGTGTTAATATATACATATTTTTTTTCCTTTTACTATTCTTGAGGGTGTATGATAAGGGAGGGAATTGGTGCTTGAATGCTGAAATAATTTATACTTGATGTACCTTTAATTGTTTAAATTCGAGTTCGTTCTCCAAGGTGTACAATTTAGCTTGCATGCTTCCACCACACCCCCTCTGGTGAAAAGCTCCGTTTCTTATTCCCTCAATCGATCCCTTGGGCCTCCTTGGCTCTACCTTGACATACCCGTGCTACACACATCTGTACCACTAGCGCCTTAAATGGACATGATGGAAAACTTAGAAATGCTTGGTAAAACTTTGTAGGATGCTTCTAAGTTGACACTTCCAAAGAATTTGAGTAGCAAAGGACTATTACTCTACAAGTCCACATTAGGAATGTCGTACATAATTCATTGTATGAAATATTGGATGACTATCAAGCTATGAGAGTATGAGAGTGTAACATTTAGGGGTACCAAGAATAATGAATTGGGTCGTGTTACACGACTGTGATGATTTTTGTCTCTTTTAATCTTTCTTCTTCATACAAAACTTCTTGATTTTGATGCTAATTCAGTGAACCACAGTATCACATTTTATTGTGAGAGTTAAACATGCTCACTAGGACCAAGTTAAATCCCAGTTTTCCTGTTTGGTAATTTTGATATAGACCCAAGATTTTAAAGTGGAAGATGCTAAGCGAAGTTAGAATTTGTGTGACATGATTTTTGAAATGACGACTCCTACTTTAACACCTACAACAAAACTTCTACTGCTGATTATAACTGTCTACACTAGTGGATACTCCTAAATATAAATTGCCAAACAAGGCCATAAAAATCGAAGCAAATTCAGATAGTACTATCAACTTCGAACAATAGGGGCAGCTATCGCACTAATTGATGCTAGAATATCTCCTGGTGTGATTGGCACACATCTCTGTGGAGTCAGTTTGAGGAAGTATAGTGAAATTTTCCTTCATATTTTCTGTACGACTGTACATATAGGCTAAACAGAGATTTTTGTGGCTGGAAAAAGCTGAATGCAAAAGATAAAACTTAAGTTATGGATCTCATTCCCACCTCTCTTGCATAGAACACTCCTCCAACCTGCCCCCACGTTGAAAAAACAGGAGAAGGTCAAATCTGGAGGAAGAATTTGTTCTCCGAGTTTCCCAGTCAATTTCCTGGGAAGCTGTTTTGTGTGCTTTTTTACTATGTCTCAATCCCGAATGCTGAGTCAACCATATTTCTCTATGAATATATGCTTAATCTAATGGCAGTAGAAACCTCCTCCTTCTTGATAGAATTTTGTGAACGAACAGTTGAGTCATTTGACATTAGAGGTTTTTAGAGTCTAAATAGTTACTTGGAAAAGCAGTGATGGTTGGTGGGGATCGAGGGGGAGGCTAACTGACTGTGCAATTTAGCATGACTTTCATGCAAAGTTGCTGCGAATGCTGCCTAAGCCCTTTATTTAACTTGACTTTATACACATGGGAAAATGAAGCTGGAACGTACTGAGTTTACTGACTATTGACGCATTTGACAGGAACCACTTTGTATTTATCTTAGGTGTGTTTTTTTTCATGCTGTTGCATGCAAGCGTATGATAACCAGCATGGATCACATAATTGTGTCAAAATTAAAGCTGTATCCAGTTTCCAGCTTCCAATCTTCCAGTAGCCTCTGTCTGAACTAGTTAAGGGTCCACTTACCTATGACTGATTATCCCAAATCTGTGAAGGCTTCTCTGAAGATATTCAAGGAGCACTTATGACAGTCACTAGCATCAAGCCCAGCAATAATTTTCAAGTTGGCATGCGATTCTTATGCTACTGTAAAAAATCTTAAACTTAATCTACTTCTTTTGTTTTTTTTCAAATACTTGCTCCTTGTTGAACCTTCACCTGGCTAGATCTTCATGGTCACTATCAATCTGCAACCATTCCCTTTTGCAGCAATGAATTACTGAGATAGCCCTGTTTTCAAATCTTTAATAGCATTAAACGTTCCACCTGCTACAGTATAATTGTGTCCCATCTGTTTTAATTGGGCATTTGGGCTTTGTGAAGAACCTGAAGTAAACCTTGGCAGTCAGTTGCTAAAAGTAGCTTTCAAAGTTTTTTTCCCTCAGTAATATTATGGGACTAGATATGCTTTGGCTAGATTTCTTAGGTTTTGATTTCAGTGCTCTGTTATGGTGCTTGTGGGCACACGCGCACACCTATCTGTCGCGAGTTTCTTATACCAAGCAAGACCGTGGACAAGTTACGGGCCTTATGGCCGCTTGTAAGGTATTGGTGCACTATCCAAATCAATCACAACTAATTTGTTATTTTTTTTTTTCGCTAAAATGCCTCATCCATCGGTAGAAATCTTAGCATTAAGTTTTATATGGTTGATTTAACAGATATTGAGAAGTTAATGAAGTGTTCTACCAATGAGAAAGCATACCAAGTGCTAAATTATTCCAATAAAATTACTTTCTCATATTTCATTATTGTCAATTGCTAATAGTTTAAAATGTTTGATGTGCTAATTTCTTATAGTTAGGAAATAGATGCCTTATAAAACTGCTGTCATGTAATTCAATTTTTTCTCTTGGATTCTCATTTGTGAACAAATTTCCCAGGTTGATTCTGTATCATGCTACTGCAAGGTAGATGCAAGTTTAAAAACGGTTGTCGGTGCAAGAAGATTTGTTCCTGGATCAAAGATCTGTATCCAGCCAGATATAAATCCTCGTGCCCATAAGACAAAAAACTCTCGCAGGGAGAGGACCCGTATTCAGCCACCTCTCTTGCCTGGCCTTCCTGATGACCTTGCCATTGCTTGTCTTATCCGAGTCCCCCGAGTAGAACACCGAAAGCTCCGTCTAGTTTGCAAAAGATGGCACCGACTCCTATCTGGAAACTACTACTATTCTCTCAGAAAAAACCTGGGTATGGCAGAAGAGTGGGTATATGTCATGAAGAGGGACCGTGATGGAAAGATCTCATGGCATGCTTTTGATCCTACTTATCAGGTCTGGCTACCTCTTCCGCCTGTTCCTGTAGAGTATTCTGAAGCCAGAGGGTTTGGATGTGCTGTTCTAAGCGGTTGCCACCTGTACTTATTTGGAGGTGAAGATCCGCTCAGGGGTTCCATGAGACGTGTTGTCTTTTATAGCGCAAGGACAAATAAATGGCACCCAGCACCAAGCATGCTTCGGAGGCGCCATTGCTTTGGTTCTTGTGTAATTGACAACTGCCTTTATGTGGCTGGTGGTGAATGTGAAGGAATCCAGCGAGCTCTCCGTTCAGCAGAGGTGTATGACCCAAATAGAAACAGGTGGACTTCCATCACAGATATGAGCACAGGGATGGTCCCTTTCATCGGGGTGGTGTACAATGGAAAGTGGTACTTAAAAGGACTAGGCTCTCATCGTCAGGTCATGAGTGAATCCTATGATCCTGAGAATAGCTGCTGGAACCCTGTGAATGAAGGGATGGTTTCAAGTTGGAGAAATCCGAGCACCACCATGAATGGCCAGCTTTATTCTATAGATTGTAGGGATGGATGCAAGCTTAGAGTGTATGACGTGGCAGCTGATTCATGGATCAAATTTATAGACAGTAAACTCCACCTTGGAAGTTCTCGGGCTTTAGAGGCTGCTGCACTCATTCCCCTTAATGGTAAGCTTTGCATTATCCGAAATAACATGAGTATCAGTATGGTTGATGTCTCAAGCCCTGATAAACATGTGGAGAGTAATCCTCATCTGTGGGAAAATGTTGGTGGGAAAGGTCATTTTAGGACGATGGTCACTAATATATTGTCGAGCATAGCAGGCCGCAGTGGTTTAAAAAGTCATATTGTGCATTGCCAGGTGCTTCAAGCATGAGAATGTATGGATGACTTGCATACCTTGCTTCTGGTATTAGAGTTCATCCACTTAATGGTCTTACAGATTCTATTGTCAAATTCATTTGAGGTTCTTTCAGCTTAAGAACCCAATTTTTTTGCTGCTCATCCTATCAGAAGGGCTGTTTCATTGCTTTTGTCTTCTGTGAGACTGTGACATATAGCTTACCTTCACATTGTATATTTTGTTCCAAATTGTGAAGAGAATTTTTGCAACCGGCCATATTCGAAGAAAGCAGAACAGCACCCCCAAAAGTAAGCAAAAGCTCGCCCTTTTCCAGCTAGTGTTTCATGTCTTCCTCTGTGGCGTATTGATTTTGCAGCTCATGGCATTATCAGTTTCTATTTGTTGAGGTAGTTACTGTATTAAATTGGATATGTAAATCCTGTAGGCTGAAATCTGCAGTTGTTTGCAGAATTCTTAGACTTTTGGTCTTTGTAGTAGTAGTACATTAAAAACCAAACAAAAAATTCATGCAGTGATTCTGCAGATGCTTTTGTGAATATCATGTCGAATTGCTCAAAACTGGTCTCTTCTTTGAATCTTTGTCATGATAAATAATACATGCATGGTCTATATACTTCCAATCCTCGTACCTTTAGTACTCCTATCATGAAAAATGAGGTATATGCAGTCGCAGATGCAAGAAGTTCGATTTTTGTTCCCAAAGTTTGTTCAGGACAGTGCATCTTGTATGAGATACAATGGCTAGTTTAATTGCAAAGATAATCGACAGTATGTTACTCTTTTCGTCTTGAAATTATATCGAGTTTATTTATATACAACCTTACCTCTACAGCAGTTGAGAAGCTGTTTTGCAATGACAGATGATTTAACCAAAGCACAAACATATCAATGGAAAATATAGATTAAAAACAAAGTTAAATAATTTCTTATTACATTTAACAGAGTACAGTAAGATTACTCATGCAGGAAATAGAAAGATTGAAGATGAAAGACAGGATTCAAAGGGAGTTGAACAAGTTGACCCAGAATGATCTTGACTTAATAATTGATGCAGAGGAAGCTTCCTTTTTCATACAAGAGGGTATAGCCTCAAATTGTTGAGCAGGAAACTTCTGACTGAAAGCTCCAACGTAGAATTCAACCATACCTGTGTCCGTATCCATTTCCATACCCGAAACCGGAACCCATATGAAGAGCTTCTTGGCCTGAATTCCAGAAACATGGGACACTTTACCATAACTGAGCTTCCCCTTGATGACCTTGTTATAGTACACGAGCTGTTCGTCGAGGAATTCGACATAACAAGGGTGTTCCATGTTTACAGTAAAGCTTCCATCTTGATTAGAGAGGGTGTATGACTTGACTCCATTTGGAATGATGCCTTTTGGAAGGTTGAATTCTGGGAGGATGTCATGGATGTCTTGTGAACCGTTGATTGGGTTGGATGGATGGTCAGGATTAGAGATGCAGAGGGAGGAGAGAGAAAGGATGATGAGGAGAGAGATTGAAGGGAGAAGACGCCATGAAAGAGCAGCCATGAATACAGAGATTAGAGAGGTATGAAATTATGCAACAAGTGGTGTTGACTAGTAGACACAGGGCTTGCTTATACGCTATGTTAAGGTAGATGGAGTTTTGGTGTCAATAATCTTGGATACAATGATTCACTACCCTCCAATATAAAATTATCTTATTTGTGACATCAATCGGTTTTATTTTTCCAACGAGTGCTTAGATCAACTGGTAATGAAAGTTGTTCTAGTTTAACCAAAGTATCAAGTATTTGAAAAAGCATATCAAGTTGTTAGAAATGCAAGGAAGATATGATATATTTTCCATATAGATTTTATGATATTATATTTAGGATTTTAATATATCTTAGTGATATTGTAATATGGTAATTTGATATTTCCTAGGATTACGAAAGTTTATACGATAAGAGTTTTATGTTGGGTAGGTTTTCTTTTATAGGTTACAAACTTACAATTATTACTATATTAGCCACAATCATCAATATAATTCAAGTTATTCTCTCATAAATATTTTACAGTTTTCCTTGCGATAGAGGTTTAACACATTTTAAGCTTGATTAGTTAGAGTCTAGTAGGCTCTAAATCGCCGAATATAAGATACACTTGCATACAAAAAACCGCTTTATAATATGATCATTTGGGTCTTTGGGATATTAATACAATAATTAATAAATTGTTGACATGCATATAATACAACCTTATAATGCATTACTCGTATATGCTCATTATTATCATCCCATTACTCGTTGTCCTTTCCTCTTTGAAGAAACACAAAATGATATTTTCATTGCTACCCAGCATATGGAGCTTCAATCCATACACAGGGCAAGCTGGTCATTTCACACTTTCTCAATTCTCACCCACATGACATTTATTTTCTCACTTCTCCACTCACTTTCCCACCAACTCTTTTCTCCTCTTTCCAAACCGAAGCAGAGTCCCAACTTCCCAGCAAACTACTTCTGTAATTCCACTTGAAAAATGAAAAATGAAAACTTTTAGGAGAGAAGGATGAACATGGTTTACAAGAGCCACGGTATGAGAATATTTAAGAAAGATGAAATGTTAAAGGAGATTGATGATTTGGAAATTTTCTTAATCAATTGGATATAAGGTGGTTATATAGACGTTAGGAGTGGGCCCAGGTAAACGGGAAAGTTAAATCTGTTAGGATTTGGGGGTGAAATCAATAGAAATCAAAAGTTGTTGGGTGTTAAATAAAATTTAAAAAGTTGATGGGGTTCATTTTGGCCTAACAGAAAACCTACTCAACTGTTCAACCCAAACTGTTCACTCAACACTCAGCCCAAGTGTTTCCCCCTGTGCATACCAATTCAAAATGGATATTGTATCCGCCACAGGTGGTGGGGCGGGTATGGATGTGGATATTGTACCCGCCACAGGTGGTGGGGCGGGAATGGGTATAAGATTTTTAGGCGGGTATGGGTATGGATGTACCATCATCCGCATCCGACCCGCCCCATTGCCATCCCTACTCCCATTATACACCACTAATTAAAAATTCATCAGTCAATTACAAAACTCAAAATTGCACAAAAAATATTAATGAATATCCGTGTATCTGCAATATAATAAAAGACCTGCAATTCTAGCACTATTATGTGAAGTTAGCAGGATCCACTAAACCTTGAACATATGACAACATTTTACTAGGGCTGACAAAAAAACTAACCCAACCCAAGATGACTGACTAACCAAACTACTTCTACCGAACATGAATTAAACCTGCATGACCAGACACAAACTTGACCAACCACAAACCTGACTTGGATATCCGCTTTAGCAGCACTCCCAGTATGGCAGTATCCACATGACCACATGACATAATCAGAGTCATAGACAGATGCTAATCCACCATGAGCAGGTACATTGCTAGTAGCATCATCAGGAGACTAGGAGAGTCATAATTTAAGAACCAGGTAAATATTGATTATAAACCCACAATGACCTGCCATAAAGCACCATACCAAAGGTTGCTGCATACTTTCTGCCATAATTTTTTACACTTGTTGCATGCTGCTTGAAAAGGATCAGCTGATATGGCACATCGGTGGAACAGTTCTATCGGAAGTTTACAATTGAGATTGAAATGCATCCACTCATTCATTAGTCAATATCTGGCCAGAAGAAAGGTTATGTGGCTGTCTCTGAAAGAAAAGTAGTGAAAAGTAACACTGCCTCCTGTAAATGACAAGAGCGATGATCTTCAGGGATTGGAGCAGCAGCTATGGTGTCAAAGCAGGTCAACTGAGTTTCACGTCTTGAATCTTCTCCACCGTCAGATACAAGCAATTTGCTGATCTCTTCTGACATCTTTGAGTAGGCCACTCTAAGGAAAACAATGATTGCTGTTAGTTTCTGGTATTGGGGACATTATAAAAGGAGACAAACATAAACCTGACATAAAGCATTATACTTCGCCTTTCTAATGATCCCCATGTTATTGCTCATCTCATAACAAACAGCCAAAGAATAGAGATAATAACTATGACGGTATATATTACAAAATCCAGAAGATAAACAAGTGAACGAAGCTAAACTTGCATACCTTGCGTCTGTGGGTAGTCTGATTCCCAATACTTCTAGAGACTTATTTAAGCAATTGAAGAACTCCCTACAAGCTGCTTCTTTACTCTCAAGAGAATCCTGAAGAGGATAATGATACAATTCCACAATATTAGTTTGAGCAAAAGCCTCGAAGGACTAGATAATCACATAATTATTCTCCCAATGCAACTACAGAACTACTCCCATATAAATAGTCTTCTGCTCGTGAAATTTACTAACACACATGTTTTGGCCAAAGTTAGTATGGGTTCTCATTTCTGAATCTCTTTTGTAGTAGTCTTGATGCTTGCTCATACAGTGATTGTCTGATAGCTGTATAAACCTTACGACAGTTCATGGTAATAAAGGTTTCAACAAACCATATGTCAGTTTTTAATGCTGGTTGGGCTTCATTTAGGCTAATCAGCTAAGTGCTTGGTTGGCTACAAATTAAAAAGCCATTTTGATTTACTTCAAATAAAATAAGTTTACAATAATCCCGAATACTCCCAGAACTCCAATCACCACCTAATCTGAGCCAGCCTAAAGCCCTAAACAGCACATTTTGCTACCTTTTTCACCCACTTGATAGATGGTACTATATGGTGGTAATAAGAATTAAATTAAATGAAAATGCCTGTAGAATGCTAGGCATCTCTTTTTTTTCATTGCATTACCTTATATTTTTATTCTAGAGGATTCTACTGGTGAAAATGGAAACTTGTGAAGAAAAATATATGCTCAGGGATGAAGTGGCATTACCATAGACCTTGGCAGGATAGTTGTCTTGAAATACTATGTATAAATCCATTCCCATTAGCATCATCTAGTGCCATCTAGGTGTCTACCAAACAAGTCATACTACTGTCAATCATGAAGATTCATTCTTGTGACAATAAAGGCTTATAGCGGAGCCCAAGTTCTGGTTACAGCATGTTGAGTGATGATTGGATGAAGTGTATAGCATTAACAAGTAGCAAGAAACAAGCAATTCAAAGGACTAGCTTGGGTATGGTACAATGATACGATAAGAGCAGACAATGCTTGCATTTGACCTATCAATTATCGCATAGAAAAAAATTATCACTTATTAGTGTCTGTTGCAAGATGAAATGCCTATTGGAGGGTAACGAAATTGACCCTAATGACACGTGGTGTATCAACAATTCAACACAAGGTTAGGCACAAGCAGAGTCACATAGTTCGCTTCTTCGGCTTGCAATTCGCCTAAAATGGGCCAAAATTAGCCCAAAATCGACCATAATTCGCTTTTTCCAGTTCGCGGATCGCGGGCAGTTGAGAGAACTATGTGACACTGGGCACAAGCATGCATAGACAGTTTTTTTAGTGCTATGTCTAAGTGCATTCTGAATGCACATACAGATGTTTTGGAGAAAGATCAAGGGAGTATTTGTTTCCTCAAGTCTTTCTTTGGGCTTGTTGCACATCAAGGTTAGGCTAGTTCAGTGCATGGGGCCTGGGGCCTGAGAGCCACTCAGCCACAAAGTCATTCAAATAATTCTACCCTCATCCTGAGACACCAAGCCCATTAATTTTCCTGAGCTGATCAAACCATTTAGTCTGCAGCAAGCATTCCAGGAGCACATAAAATAATTCTGGAATCTACAAGACATGGATCACAAGAATTGCCAATCCAACTTTGGTATTGGGGGTTTCAACCCCTGCAGGCAGTTCATGGTTCACAGACATTGGAAAGCTATACAACAGAGGAATAATGAGATTTTTTTAAAAAAAAAAAAAATTTAACTCACCAGCTGCCCCACTACAGCTTAAATTAAGCAGCTAAGTGTAACCAAAGCTGAAACACTATCAGATACTATCATATATTCATATTATTTCATTTTGTCAATAGCAAACAACAAATGAAATTTTGACTTTTACCACCAAAAAAATCAAAAAAATGTTTTTTACCACCAAAACTTCTAAAACTATTATTTTACCACCAAAAAAAATTCTAAAAATTGTTTTTTACCACCTAACGTCAAGAAAACCGTTAAATCTAACGCGAAACATGCTCTTCACGGTTTTAGGGGGCCATTTTGGCCTTACGGCTCCAATTTGAGGTCAGAATTGACAAAAAATGATTAGAAATGCTTAGTTTTGCGTATTCACACAAATCGAGGTATTTTAAAACACGCAAAACGAGGCATTTTTTTATCATTTTTTGTCAATTTTGACTTCAAATTGGATCTGTAGGGCCAAAATGCCCCCCAAAACCTTTAAAGAGCATGTGCTTGACACGAAATTCGTAGAATTTTAAAAATTCCATTAGGTTTTTTACGACAGGTGGTAAAAAACAATTTTTTATTTTTTATTTGGTAGTAAAATAAAAGTTTTAGAAGTTTTGGTGGTAAAAAAAACATTTTTTTTGATTTTTTTTTTTGGTGGTAAAAGTCAAAATATCCAACAACAAATAACCTCCATATAAACAAAAAACAGAATATCAGATACTTTTGCTGGAAAAGCAGCTAAAGCAGCTACCACTTAAACAGTAACTGCACATGATTCAGCTGCCTAAGCAATAAGTTCACATTACTTTGACAGCTTTATCATGTGAAGCTGCTTATCGAGGAATTAGGTCAAGCTCAAAATGTAATCCAGCCACAATGTGGTAAAGTTGAATATAATTACCAATTTGTTTATATCATCTTGATCACCATGAAGAGAGCTCCTCAACAGATAAAATGAGATATAGATTCCAGCTCCCAAGTCCCAGTCTTCTATCTCTGACTTATAATCCTCCATTGACGTTGCCAACCTCCAAATCTCTGAGTCTTTGGCTGCATTTACATAACATTATTGACTTGAATATTGGCAAGAGCGTTGTAGGCTCCAAATTAGTCAACTAGAACACTTTTGACAAGCAAACAGAAAAGGCAGTACAGCAATGATTCATGGGAAAGATTACCCAAAAACCTTCAAATTAAACACATTCACATAATCACTTCAGTTAAGACTTCAAAATTTTCGATTTCGTAGTAAGATGGTGCAATATCACCAATATATACATTCTTAGCAAATACAATGGTAAGACCAAAATGGATTCTAACTTTAAATATCAAAAGATGAAGCAGAAATAAGAGCTGAAAATGCAGAGGGGAAAATTCAATGTTGTATCAACTTAGAAATAAGAGCCGAAGATGCACAGGGCCAGAGGGATAATTTCAAGCCTAAGATTCACTGTGCCTTCTGTAATGTCATACTTCATATAAAATAAGCTAAATTGAGTGGAAAGAGGAAATTTTTATTATAAATATTGTTTGAAATGTCATGAGTAGTGCTGCATACAGTGTTTTCTTATATCTTTTCTCGATAAACTCTTTATACAGTATATCACTCTATTTAGGCAGCAATATAAATTCACCTGTTTTTTTGAGATAAGGCAATAAAGGCGCAGTCATACTAAGCTAAAAAGAGAGGCAATACTTTATCTTGAATAGCCAATCAAACTGACTAATTTATTAACCAGGAAAATATACAATGAAATAATAACTCAAATACTCTGTCCCAAATTAACAAAATTTATTTTCCACAGTTTTTGAGAAGGTAAAAGTTATTGGGTTTGAAATTGTTGATATCAGAAACTACCTGTTCAGACAAACCAAACAAGATCCCACTTGAGAGCATGTCTAGTCCCCCAAGTTTTGACCATTTGCAGAATGTTTTCAAGAGCTAGAAAATGTTGACCCTTGAAACCCACCCACACAGCCTATTGCTTTGTCAAGACTCACCCGTCAAGACTTGTTTCAGGAGCTGCCTAGTAAACCTTAACCACTTGAATTTTGGACTGATATCTATCTCATCATGTCTTAGGGCAGCTGGTTGTCTTGAATAGCTTTTATAGGTATAGGTACAGGAATTCTAGAAAAAAAATTGTCCAATGTGATACTTTGAGATCAGATATTTCAATTCATAAGACTATATAAGAACCCAAAAAGAGGAAGGAGTTTAAAAAAGTCAGCGATATAGTCAGGAATCCAAGATACAGTAATTTCATTAAGCCAGATAATATTTATAAATTTCAAACCACCTACACAAAGAATATTCGTTTATGGGTTGTACCCTGAGAAGCTTACGCTCAGTGAAACAGATTGCCTAAGGCACTACAACCCCCACAGGAAAGAGGGAGAAAGAAATCAAATTGAAATATTGAGAAACACAGAAAAGTTTGGTCAAGGATCAAAGAAAAAGGGAAGTGCACTCACACACACAGCGTTGCTACCTGAAAAAGGAAGCAAAGCACCTAATGAGAAGGACTTCTGCACGTAAAGTTGACATTAAATTCGTACAAGGAGTACAAGTAAACCAGGTGCCAGGCAGGGATTTCAGCAGCCACGACTAAACATAAGTCTGACACACAGTAGGGACAGGAATGAACAGACATCAACAGGTGATTACAACCACTTCAAACCTGAGAAATGAGGATACTATTGGCACAGTGGAGATTGGCGAGGTGGGGTGGGGGGACGCGAATACAAGCCACAGGCCTCCTTGTGCTTCCCTATGGCCCATACTATTTACAGCAAGAACACAAGGTCCCGAGGGCAGAATCAAGGAAACCAGAATAGATAATTTCCATCGCTTGTATTTGGGAGAAGTCAATTCCTCCCTGTTTCCCACTGATATGTGATTTGGAGTAAGAGAGTGGTGACTTACGTCACCAGTAAACATATTGCACTCATCTTTCATGTATTGAACTAAAGAAGGAACTAAAAAGGTGACACATAAATAAGAGCAAGAAAGTAAATCAGAAGAACTTTCAATGATCTCTATGACATGCCTAGATTTCTATCCTCATCCACAGACCACATTATACTCAATGCTCCAAGAATATTGCCTTTAACATGTCGTATCCAAAATGACTCCTACCTTATTAATGTGTTCTTTCACCATATAGCAACACTTACATCATATAACAACTTTGATCTTACAACTTCCTATAGAATTTTCCCTTCAGCTTTTAAGGGCACAATGAAGTGCATTCTATTTGAGCCACCCAAATTCAATCCTATGAGCCACATGTTGGACTATATCACCATTTATTTCGAATAATTGGCCCAAGGTACTTAAAGCATATCACTCGGAAGCATTCACCGGGAGTACTATAGCCATATTAATTCTCTATTTTTAGTATATTACCAAGGTAGCTTGAACCTCAAGATTCTAACCTTTGCCTCCATAGTTCCAATTTACCATTAACTACCATTAACCCCTTTGGCCCTTTCATCCACCAAAATAATACATCCGCAAACAACATACAGAATGGTACCTCATCACGCAAACAACATACAAAAGTAAATTAGGGCTTAGTGCAAATCCTTGACGTAGACCAAATATTGTTGAAAAGATCTGTTAACCAATTAATACCAGCCTTACACAAATATAGCCACACCGCAACAACTGCTTTACTGAGTTATGATCTCCACCTCCACTTTTACAATTGTAAAGCATGTATGAACATGGTGAAATTAGGGTCAAACACAAGGGACTATTTAGGGGTTAATAGCTTGCTGACATGATGGGGCAAAGTATAGAAGTCTTTCAACTGAAGATGTGAAACACAGGAACTCTTCTGGTGAAGGATTAAAGACGTGGAACTTCCAAAACATGGTAGGTTTATTCATGAAAGAAGTGAAGAAAGCAAGAGCTTAAGATCTGAAGCAGCAAAGGTGAAAAAAAGGAGTTGGAGTATTTAATGCTTTGTGAGAGAGGAGCTAAGAGCAAATTAATGAGTTAGGGTTACTTAATATAGCTGTTAATGGAAGGAGACAGTGTGACATGGTACATGGTTCAATTCGATATAGGTATGCAAACAAGGATGAAAGGCACTAGCTGCTAAAAGATAGGAAAAATTGTAAAAAAAACCCCCCTAACTTTTCAAGATTTTTCATATTACCTCCTATGAATTTTTTTCTTTTATTTAACCTCCTCATGTTTTGATCCGTTAGTGAAATCACCCCCTATTTTGCATTTTCTGTTAAAACCTAACGGTGGGGCCCACTTTTTACTAATTAATCAACTATTATGAAGCATTATTAGAAATCAACCAAAATTATATCCTCATTAAACATCCACCATGAACCATCATGTACCTTCCTCAACCCCAGCTTAGTACACTCCAGCCTTCACCTGTCTGCTGCCACCACCACCACCAACTATGATGTCGCTGCCATCACCACAGCGATCCCATCGTCACCTTCATCATTTCCCAAAATACAACCACATAACACTCTCATGCACACCTTCTCTTTCTTCGAATCTACTCCTCCCTCAAAACTCATCCTCAAATCAACTCAAACTCGCAATTTCACACCCAAAAACTTATCCATCTACCTCAATCTATCAACTCCAGCAACTCCCACTCAAATTTTCGAACTTCTCAACTTACATTTCTAAATCTAAAGTTCGAAATATTGGCCTGAATTCAGCCGCGTACGTCGAGCTTATTTCAACCATAGTTGAGGGTTCGAATTGAACAATTCTTCAAGGATTTGGGCTGAATTTTGGTGCAGCTAGGCTTGTTTCTTGGAATCTGGCCAACTTTTAATCGGGCCTCAAAGAACTCAGCCGGGCCAAGGACGATTTCAACTGCAATCGTTGATGTAGTCGTTGTAGTTGTAATTGCTGGTGATGTTGAATTGGAAGTAGAAGGTTGCAATTGCGATGATCAAGATGATGATGAGGATGTTAGGGTTTCGTTGTACGTGAGATTGAGGTCATATTTTTATGAAGGGGGGTGGTGCTGTGATGTTTGGTTGGCTAGAGTGAGGGTGTTGGTTAGTGTTTTGATGATGGAGGGTGTGTTTTGATGTGGTGATGATATGAAGGTGAAGAGGATTGAAGATAAAGATGAATGAAGGTGATGATGAAGTTGTTAATAAGAGGATTAAAAGAATAAAGAGGTTAGTATTGTAATTAATTTAGTTTAGTAAATTAATTAAGTTGTTAAGTTGTTAGCTAATGGAATATTGAAAATATTCCGTTAGTTTTGACGGAATTGGGTGATTTGGGGGTGATTTAAGTAACGGAGCGAAACGTGAGGGGGTTAAATAAAAATAATAATTCAAAGGAGGTAATATGAAAAAACTTGAAAAGTTAAGGGGGTTATTTACACTTTTTCCTAAAAGACATGAAAAATTTTGATGTTGATTTATTTGGATCCAATACATCTATTAAGCCCAACTGCAATAACAGCATCACATATTTTAATCTCCTTTGATAGCAATAACAATAATGCTGATTTATCAACCCCAAAACATTGTGGTTTGTTAATCTGCTTATTAAACCTATGATGCTCAGAATCAAACACACTATAAATGTTATTTGCCCAGTCTTAAAGAGTGTTTCAACTGATGTGAAACAGTATCCAAAATTTGGATTTATACTCAGCAGCAAAAAATTTCCCTAAAAGGAACATTTTATATTCTTACGAAGCTGGTAAGTGAAAGTCAATTAATGACTTGCAGTCAACAAAGAAATGAAGGGGAAAAAAAAAAAAAAAAAAAACATAATCCCTCAATAACAAAATAATGGAAACATTTATTATTATTTATGAGAAATAACATATTCATTTTTTGTAATTAATTCATTACAGAGGAGTAGATGAAAATGATTTACTCATTATTTTACTGTTTTGAAACTAGCAAACCATGTAGGATATAGGCTCTGTAAAATAAAAGAGAGACGGTGAGGGTTTTATGAGAAAAAGATCAATATTGCTGGCTGTACTTTGAAATTCTTTTTATACTTTATTGTACAGAAAGTTATATTAAAGTTAAAGCACTACAGTTATAGACCATTTCTTCAATAAGATGCCTCTTTTCTCTCTCACTTTCTTCCAAAGGGCTCACATCACTCAGGCGACCAAAAGCTCCAACATTTCTTTCTCCTTTCTATTAATTTGGTGCTTTTGAAACCCTAACAAAGTTTATCTCCCTTCCTCTTGCTTTAAGTCTAACCCATATATGGTGCCGAGACCAGGTTATGTTGGTTAGAGAAAGGGGTAATTTGGATAAGCCTGAGCATCATATCAATTATAACACCAACATCAAAGAATCCTAATGGCTAAAACAAGAACACAAGCAATAACACAAAACAAAAATAAAAAATAATAAATAAACTAAAAACAAGAACAAGAATTAAAAATTAAATAAATGAATAGAACTCCGCCAAGCATCCACAATGATGAGATCATAAGATTTGAACATGAGTTTACCTGACAAGAATAAAGAATGAACAACTGATGTTATGAAGATTGTATGAGCCTTTTGCCAACTGGAACATTTTATGTAGTGCTCTAGAGCCTTAGAAAGATCACCATAATATTGAAAATATACAGCCTGCAATGTATACAGAATATGAACACTAAAAAGAAAAAAGGAGAGTAACAAGAAATGAGATTGGCTGCACTACGGAAAGCACATGCAAATCTTCGAAAATAAAGTACAGTCAAACCATATCACAGAGTTAATATTTATAGAAGCAAGGATAGACCATAATCTTTGATCAACCTCTTTATTGATTGTGTCTGTTCATATGGAAAGTAGTAGAGAAGTGCTTGTATGAGGAGTGAACATGGATAGCTATCAGCCTGCATCAGATTGGGCAAGCCACACGTGTTCAATGGGAAGGAAGCAAGTGAAATGTGTATCTTAATTCACATGTGTCCATGAGTTTGTCCTTTTCTTCTCTTTTCTTTTCGATGTTCTCTTGGGTGGTTAGGCAATTAAGCAATTTAAGGGTATAGAAAAGGACAAAAAGACAAGAAAACCAGCATCTTTGAGCATTCCATGCGTGGTAGATAAGCACTGGTCCAACTCCTAATGGGTTAGACGCTTAGACAATTAGATTTATAACTATAACAGTAAAAAAAAAACTTTTTTACTACGTAATTTGGGAGCTGCATGTAATAGAAAAATCACGAAAAGAAAAGGCATCAAGACAACTCCTTTCCTTAAATGGTACATGGTTAACCTCTTCTTCATTCTCTTTCCCACGTATAATTATAATCTCGCAAAGACCTCTAACCTGAGTTAACCACCAACCCCCCCCCCCAACTACTCCCTTTAGATATTAAATTCACACAGGCCCCAAGAACCACTTAACTCCTTGGCTATTTCATCAAAGTCACATCCCACCTTTCCAAAATCATTCCAATATTGCTACTTAAACTTCCTAGAGTACTCAATTGCCACCGCCAAGGGCCAACAGTAATGACCATTAAAATCCACTGCATCAGGCCCACGACGCACCACTAAATCAAAAAACTATTATGTGGATCCAGCAAGTTAAGGGCCTGCTATGGCCATAAATGCTAACAAGAGGCCTTGGCAATAACCTAAATGACAACTTCCTCAAGCAAGGTGACAGCAAATGGCCAAAAGCAGCACTTGTTTAGAAAAAGACCCTATCAAAAATGATTAATAGCCACAATTTCCAGCCAGCTTCTACTACCATAGAACCGAATCTCAACCGTATGAAGCCTGTGTGGCTGTGCAAAATATTACTCATATCATTGTTTGTTTACAAGAAAAAAGTTTTATACCAAAACCCTAATTGGAGTTTGAACTCTAAAACTTATACCAGTAATATATTTAGCCTCATAACACAATACTAAACAAGTAATCCTACTCCAAATGAGATTGTTGTAAGGTAATGCACATATTAAGAAGTTATAAGTTATAGCAGTACTATTCAAAAGTGACAAAAGAAAATACTGCAATAGCTGACAGTATATATAGTACACTGATATATTAAGTGAGGCATAAGACAAAATGGGTTAGTGGCTGGAAAGATACTGCAGAATTGAGGAAGTAAATATACCAAAGCCTCATGCAACCATTGTGATGGAACACCCATTTCTTCTATGAATTTGCGCTGCTCTTCTTGAGAACTCCAGGTTTCACAATACTGGAACAAGATTTCCTGAATAACTGTGGAGTGTAGATAAGGAAAGGCTTCACAAAAGGGCATGTGTAGGACGACATAGATGGCCCAGTGGCATTTCCCTAGACACAATAGCTGAGAAACATATGCCATGTCAAGAATATAAAGATCACTAGAACTGAAGGCACCAATTGCTTCAAGAATTCCATGTTGATGCCAGATCATATGGTGGTCAAGTGGATCGTTAGTTGATGCAAAAGCACTGAACATAGATTTCAGGCCAGCAAAATTACCATTGTCACTAGCATGAAGCAACATCAGATAATAAGCAAGGTCATACCGTCCCTCTGTCGCAACTTGAACAGTCTCCTCAATTGGTCCCTCATCAATATAAGCTGGAACAGGATATGGAGCCTTTCCTTCAGTAAGGAGATGTTGGTAAGTGTGAAAAACAGCAGGCAAGGCAGTGCCGGGTGGTAATTCATACCACATCAACAACCCCAAAAACCTTTTCCAGTCAATGCTTTTATTAGCCAAAGCACTATGAATGTTACCCGAAAGCAATTCATAAAGTTGTATCCTATCCTTCTCAATGAAGTTAAAGTCCATGCCATTGTCTCTCCATAGCTCCAACTGCTGAGCTACATCGGAACGATTCACCATAGACCCACCAGCCTCCCCTAATAAACAGGCCAGCCTCACATCCCTCCTAGAAGCAGCCAATTCTACAGCATCATCTAACTGTCTTCCAGTCAGGTAAAGAAAGATCTGTTGTAAATCATCACCCTCACTCAAGCAGCTCATATCTTCTTGTACCCGATGGTACACACTATCTTGTAGCCAATAACTAAACTCCGCCCTCCGCATCAGAGGGAGTGCTTCAGGGTCAACTTCTGGGCGAGCAGCTTTCCCATCCAGCATCATATCTTCGCCATTGTCCTCTATACCATACACGGCCTTTCCACTAGCCTCCCTTTCAGAGAAAAGAACCTTAATCAGCTCCCATACAATCACTTGGTGCATCAAAGACTGACGAACAGATGGTGACATACCAGGAACGTCAAGTTGCTTCTCGACTACCTCTATATAGTTACGACAGATATCTGACAGAGAAAAACGATCGCATACAACTTTTTGAAGGCTTAAATTAAAGGGACCAACTTCAACTTCAAGAAACCTATGATTCAACGATTTGTGTAATTCTAAGGGTGACTGAAATAGTTGATCAACAGCTTCCTTTTTCACTTCATTTGATTCATCTCTAGTGACCTTGTCGATTGCAACCTTTTCAAGAGTTATTACTGAAGACAATACTCCTTGACGATCATTACTACAGACAGGCACACCACTATGAATAAGGACACCATTCGGTCCCCATCCAACACGAAATGATCGGCCCATAAACAACCCAGCATCAACTATATTTCGTGAATGATAACCAGATACAGGTGTTTCTTGCTCGGGGTCCAATTTGAAACCTTCCGGTTTAACGACCCTCAATGGTGATCTAGTTTGTTGTGCTAATAGAAGAGTCCCAGGAGCATTTACATCAAAACCATTAGACTTGTACTCAAGCAAAGGCACTGGAGTCTTCCTGGGTGGCGGAGGACTTGGTTTAAAATTCACCTTTAATCCTGAATTGTATAATGGAAACTTATCTCGCTGACTCGATTGTTTCTCATGCGACGGATAATCATCATAACTTTCATCCTCATCACCATCACCCGAAAACATCAACATTTTCATCTCTCTCATTCTAGCGGGATCAAGCCCTAGATGAGCAGGAAGCGAATGAGAAAGCTCATATTCATTCTGGCCAATATCAAACCCATTACTATTTAAACCCTCATCCTCACCACCACCACCTACACCTACACCAACATCGTCATCCATCTCAACATGATCATGACCCGGCTCATCATCCGCATCATCCATCACAATATCATCCTCATCATCCAAACTCAGCCCAAATCGGCTAAAATGCCGAACCCTAAATTTCCATTCCCCACTCAATGGATCATACGACATAAACTCCGCGCCCTGCTTAACCGAGCTCTCTCTCAACCTATCAACAACCCCACAAAAGCTCCCACCATCGACACCCGATTTTCCAAACTTGAGTATCAAACTAACCACAGCAGGCTTATTCAAACCTTCCCCAACATCAGGCTTAATACTCTCATCCTCATAAACAACAATCTCATTCCTATTAAACTTAACAATCTCAGCCAAATCCAAACCTCTCACATCAGTTTCCCCCAAAAACATCACACTCCCAAACCCAGTTCTCCCAACAACAAAATCCCTAATTTTGCTACAATACCCAGGTTTAATCCCCTCTAATGCAGCTAATTCCTTCATTGAAGGCTCAGTATAATAATCAGAACATCGTAAAACTGGTAAAACCCCATTATTTAACACACCCCAAATTGTCTTCCTTTTCTTATATGGTGATGAAATTTGAAATGCAGAACAACAATCAAAAGTGGGTCTTGTTGAGGAAGATTGTATATCACGAAAAATATCAAATTCCATAACTAAAAAAAAGGTGAATAAAAAGAATGAGCAACTCAACTTCAAACCTTTGACTGCACGTTGTTATCGTTGTTGTTGTTGTAGGCGTTTGATAGTCGTCGGACAAAGGAGAAGAAACGGAAATTAGGGGTTTAGAGTGAGAGAGTGTAGTGTTGAGCGAAAACGCGAAGTCTGAGTGAGGTTTTTTTGGGGTAAATAAGAGGGAATTATGTTTTTGTTTTCTTTTAGGCAATGGAGGTAAACTCGGAGGTAAAGTTGGGAATTTATGTGCAATTCAGAGGGTAGAGTACTAGAGTTGGTGTAAAATTTTCTATTTATTTAAAAAATGTCATGTGATTTACTACTATAGTAACTCATGGTGAGTAACTACTAACTAGGCATTTCTCATAATTGTAACCCCCCTACCCTTTTACAAACTATAAGAAGACTTAAAAACTGAACCAAAAAATTGAGCACTTAGATTACAACGCAATACAATTAAGTAGCATTTGTTGTAAGGTGAAGTACGATCAAGAAGGTAATGATAGTACATTTTCAAACGTGTCTACAGCTAAGGTTTTAGTAATCACCTGCTTTTTCCATTCATTATTTTATGAACCACATGCAGAATTGGAGAGAAATGAATTTTTAGAATAATCCAAGTTTCGAAGTAGTTGTTAATGACAGAAGACGTGTTGCGTTGGTAAGTAATTGTTTGTGTATTGTACGTACAAGGTGGACATATATATTTCGATAATTTTTTACATATATTCGTTTTTTTAATGTTGGGTGTATATGTGTAATTCCAGCGTATCCCAGGCACATTATGGCATATTCTCAGTGATGGCAATGTAACTATATATCGAGGTCTTGGCAATCATTCGTGGATAGTTGTTGTTCGGAACATGGAAATTGGTTCAAATTGGAAGTATTTTATCGAGGACGGATGGCAAGAATTTATAAATGAAAATCAAATCATAAATGGAGACGTGTTGAAAATATTTTTATGCAACAATTCAACCATTCACGTTAGAGTTTTTAGATCAGGAATGGAAATATGTAATAATGCCCCATGGTATAATCTTAGTTAATTATTATTCTCTAACACTTAACAAGAATACACAAACATTTCTTGCTATCCTTGAGCACTTGTTTGAGACCAGTACAACAATCTTGTGAGCCGTTGATGGGGTTGGATGGATGGTTGAATTAGAGATGTAGAGGGAGGAGAGAGATAGGATGATTAGGAAAAGCCTCCATGAAAGAGCAGCCATGATTCCGTTGAGCCCATGAACAACCCACATGTAAGCATTCTCTTGTCCCACACTAAAAACACTAAAGGGGGAGTGTAGTGGTAATGGAATCCCACATTAAAAGAATTTAAGAGTTACCACCACTATATAAGGCTAAGGGGCTACTCCCTTCATTGCCATATGGTTTTGAGGTGGAACCTCCTTGGTCTTGTAAAGTGGTGGACTTGCACTCTCCCATGACGGTGCGGCCCAGACCCGTATTTAACAGATTCAATAGAGAGGTATGAAAATATGCATCCAACTGGTAACGAAGTTGTTCAAGTTTAGCCAAGGTATCAAGTACTTAAAGAAAGCAAATCCAATTGTTAAGAGAAGTCTCCTCCTTATAGAGGCTTGACACAACTCTAATTTGGATTAATTAGAGTCTAGTATTGTAGACTCTGAATTACCAAATACACTTGCATACAAAATAATCGTTTTATCATATGATCAATTGGAAATTAATACAATAATTAATGAATTCTTGACGTGCTTATGTGTATAAACTTAAAATATATGCATTTGTACGATGTAGAGAGTATTAAATCTATACACTTCTTTTTCGTTATAAAGACGCTTTAAAAAGTGAGCAAAAGATTTCATATGCATTTTATTAAATGAGGTAATTATTAGGCGTACAATAAAGCACGTGCATTAGAAAATCCAAATAATAGACCCTTTAAGAAGTAGTTGACACTATTCATTCCATAACATAATTTGGCATTTCATCAACTTGAGTTGGAAACCGTTGCACCTAGCCATCAAGAAAAACGAGTCATTAATTAAATTAAAAATTTGACAACTAGAATGTAGATAATAATTTTTAAATGACAAGTCACTTTTCTTTTTCACATGACAAGTTATTTTTTAAAGAGCAATCTTGGACTCTTGGTATATTATTCTAACCAAATCTACAAAGTGGCAAATTTTTATGAGTATTTATGCACTATCAATAATGAGACGCATTCAAGATACAGGGCCCAAAAATTTGACCTTAACAACAACTTGACAGATTCACATTTTACACGATGATTAGAAGCAAGGTCAGGCATTATTACACCTAGTCATCAACCAACATATTTAACACCAATCTAACACAGTAACAGTTTGATCTCAAGTACTATATCAATAATTTTTGACAAATTGATAATAAGAAAGGGTAGAATTACAGAAAGAATGTACCTTTAACATCCACAAATGCCGAGAAGTACAAGAATGAATCGTCTGGAACTGATGAACATCAACTTTCTTGTTGACAAGACCAAATTGCAAGTAAATGTTATCATTAGGAGGCAAATCAACCTTAATCTCATCAAGTTTGAGCCATAGCAGTAACCACTTCACCCGAACTCCCTCCAAGTTAGTGATTGATCCCAGCTTGAGGGTGCCTGATATGAGCTCGTCGTAGCTGACTAAGTACTCATCCAACTGCACATAGCAAGGCTGCTTTTCGAGTTCCACCATGAAGCTGCCATCTTCAGCAGAGAAGGTGTAGTTCTTGACTGCGTCGGGTAAGAGACCCCTTGGGAGCCCGAATGCAGGGAGAATTTCATGGATGGAGATGGCTGTCGCTGCGAGTTGGGGGGGGGGGGGGTTGGAAGAGGATCATGATGAGGGAGAGGAGAGAAAAGACGGTCAAGAAACCCATGCTTGGATTGGACCATATGCTGTTTCAAAGAAAGGGATTGGATAATGTAAAACACAGAAGATGAGGGGATTGAGGGTGACAGCTTCCCCGTGATACACGAGCTTATGATCTTTGGCCAAGTTTGGTAAAGACTTAAACAATTCAATACTGCAAGTCAATGCTGATTTAATTTCCTTAATTAAAACTGTACGTTAATGGACACTTTTTTCTAATGAGCATGCCTTTTTTTTAAGAGTGATTTCCCTTAGCTGTGAGATAAATGAATCCCAAATTGTGCACGTAGAAACAGAATTTAGCCTGGTATATTCAGAGATGAGCCACAAAGTTAAAAGCGAAGCAGAAACTCAAAGTAGATAACATGTACGAAATAGTAGATTCCAGGATGCCGAAAATATCCATCACAGGATTGTTTACAGTATTACACACATATTCTAGGTACTAGGTAGTGGGTATTACTAGGCTACATTTTCTCCGATACATTCATCAGAGAAGAATTCTACACTAAATAGTAATACAAGTGTAAGCCCTTAAAACATGGGACATGTACATATTATACTTTTATCTTAAGCAGCCGGAGACCAAACTTCCGTCTTACGGCAAGGCCATCTCAGCTTCTGCTATTAGACTATGGGGAAAACAAGCAATCTGTGCCTTCATTCATCACTGATAAGTGATGCATTTTATTCGGTCAGCAACATAGGGATATCTCCATCAATAGGAGGTGGAAGCTGCAGACAAAATAAGGCAAGATAAGAGAACGATTTTAATAAGAAAATCACTAAACAAAAATTAAGCTGCAGAAAAATTCTATCAATCATACAACACAACACTAAGCATCAACCAAACCACAATGTTCAGATTAGTACAAATTAAAGATAGAGGAAAATGTATGACCTTGTTTTTAAAAAATGGAACCACTCACTTAGCTCTACATCTTGATTAAGCAAGACTATATAGCTAACATTACAATACCCAGTACTATCTTCAAGGTAAATTTTGAAACACCAGAGGAAACTTGAGCTCAATAAGGCAGCTTTGCTTAAATTTCCCCAACTGACCATGTTATTTACCTTGATGGAACAATACCCATGCAAGCAGAATATGCAAGAACCACACAAACTACCATGCAGTAAGTTCTTAGCAATTTCAAGCAGAAAATAACAAAAAAAAAAAAAAAAAAAAAGGCACCCCTCACTACCAGCCCACATCCTTGGAATGTTTAGCAAGAGAGACACGCTTTTAAATGATTGTCAAGAGCAGAGTCTTTGTTAGTATTTAAACTTACAACAATAGATTTGAATTGGATATTCTAAACCTTTTGGGAACGGAATGCCAAACCACATTATGCAAACAGACAAACTACATTATCACACAGATGCTATCCTTTTAAAACATTAGCCTATATTATCTAAGTTTTCATAACCTTATTGGCCTTAATCCAATCACAAGCAATCACAGTAACAAACAAATCAGAAAGCTACAAGAAACAAGTTCTTCAATAAGCATCTTTATTGGAGTATTTTGGGCCCTAAGCAAGGATTAAATAAGTGCTACGGTGAAAATAAGAAAGAAGCAACATTAGATAAGTACCAAGTCACCAATAATGCTAATACTTAGCATACTACTCCGTTGTAAGTATGAGTAATAAGTTTGTAACAACAGTTTTAACTTTTAAGCAGAAAACACCGCAAAATGACAGCTTATGCACCAACGCATATGTCCAGAATGTGAGCAAGAGACTAGTACAAGACATGCCTCTTATAATAGCTATTGAATTCTAACAAGAATGATCAAGACACCATAAAAGGAACTTTGTCAGTAGTTAAAACTTCATCTCTCAGAATTGTATTGCATTGCAAGATTGAACATTAGAGAACAGAATGTCGATCCATACTCTTCAACCAAGCAAATAAGATGGGCATAAACACATAATAATTCCTCAAATCACAAAGCAGAGGCCGATGATCGGCATGAAGCAAGTTCTACAATTGGCAACTCCAAGGGTGTAGTTAACTACAGTGATTAAGCTTTCAAAACTTGCTGGGATAAAATTAGAAAGACACAAAAACCTTACAAAATTGATTACCCAAGTCAACAAATGACGCCAATAATACAAAAATTAGTAACGACAATTCCACACCTTATCTTCTACCACTATATTAGTCTTATTCCTATTTCACATTGTTTGACTAAAACAACTAAATTTGACAAACCACCAAAAGATAGAGTTGACTAAGATGAATAATTTAAATCATTGATTTATCAATTGCCAAGTTTACAAACATGAATCTTGATCAATATAATTGGATAATCTATCAAATTCAGCTATAGAAATTAGAAAATCACAATTCATAACATAATTAGCTTATTTCCTAAATCAATAATATTACAATTCTTGCTCAATAAGTTTGATTAAATTACAATCGAAACATCAAAACATAACAATAAAAAGAAATCATAATACCTCGAAGCTCCAAGAACGAAGGTTCGCGCCGCGAGCAGCAGAAACGGAATCACGGCAAGAATGAATAGTTTCAAACTGATGAACACTGAGCTTCTTGTTAATCAAACCAACCTGAAAGTAAATCGAATCGGAAGGAGGCAAATCGACCTTAATTTCATCAACATCAAACCAAAACAAGAATCGTTTGACTTGAATTCCTTTCAAATTAGTAATCGACCCAATTTTTAGGGTTCCAGTGATGCGTTTCTCGTAGTAAACCAGGTAATCGAACTGAATGTAGCAAGAAGTGTCGAGGTCAACGACGAAAGTGCCATCATCGGGAGAGAGAGTGTAGTTGTTGACGCAGTTGGGTAAGAGGCCGCTTGGGAGGCCGAATTTGGGGAGAATATCGAAGACGGAAGGCGGAGTTGGAGATTGAGAGAAGGATGGAGTTAAGGAGAGAGAAATGGTGATGATGAAGAGGAGAGAGAAAATGGTGAGGTAGGGTTTTGCGGAAGCCATTGATGATGTTGAAGAATTGAAGATGAAGGTTTTTCAGAGGAGCGAGAAAATGAATAGAGAAGAGTCGGAATTTGTAGGAGAGAGGAGGGTAGAGAAGAAAAATGGAGTTACATTAAAAAATGGATTACTGAGTGAGGAAAAGTCCAAAAGCTGATTAGGACGATGATCATAGATAAGATTATGCAATGCTATAGAGCATATTCGATCCTAAATACTTGTAAAGCTGTAAGACCCATTGATCGAATGATTATTTTTCTGTAAAGTTGTAAGACCCGTTGATCGAATGATTATTTTTCTTATCTTTTATGAAAAAAAAATACATCAACTTTAGAAAGTTAGAGCATTTTCAATAGCAAGTTAATGGTCAAAGAAGCTTGTATTGACACTTCAAATCATGAGCTAATTTGTGTCTCGATGGTTAGCTATTAACTTGATGTTTTATTGTCTTTCATATGTTAATAAATACAAGTAGTTGGCTAACATTCGATCTCCATCTTTTTTTCAAGCATGTTAATAAATATACAATTAGTTGGCTAGCATTCTATCTCCATTTTTTTTTCAAGCAAATTGGCTTGCCAAACGATAAAGCAAATTAAGCTAGTTTGGTTAGCCAAGCTAATTTTCATTTTAAACTCTAATGATTAAGCAAGTAGCTTTGAAATTTAAAAAATTATAAGCAAATCCTTAGCTCTGCCCAAGCCCCAAGGGGCATGGAGTTAATTAAGGTTTTGTAATTATGTTGTTGGGAGGTAAAACAATAAAAGATTAATGCAAACAAGTTCAAAAGATATAACAACAAAAAGTTCTGCAATTGGGGTTAATAATAAGAGAGCATAAATAATGGTGATCTATGCCAAAGTAGAAAACGTTGCTAGCTTTTCATAAGAAATAAAATAGATGAATGTTACAGGTAATTTAAGAATGGAGAGAGAACATAAGATTTGAGATGTTCCTAAATTTGTGCTATATATGTGATTTAATAAGTTTTGTTTTTGATATCTATAAGGCTTAAGTGTTAAATTCTTTACTTCAATGTTATGTTTTAAAGTTTGAGTAGAAAATGTCAAACCGTTGTAATAGAGTTTTGAAATGGAATTTCTAAAGGAATAACAGTTAATGACTTAATGTCTTAAAGTGTGAGTAGAAAATGTCAAATCGTTGTAATAATATGAAACGAAGGTATTGTGTACACTTGGATGTAAGATAAAACATGTACTCTAAAGGCCTGTTATGATTTAGTGAAAAAAAAAAACTGATCTGAAGAACTAAACTGAATAGAGCTAAAATGAATTGTTTATGGTAGAAGAAAATTAGAAACTAAATTGATTGGAGCTGAACTGAACTGTAATTAAACTAAAGAGAACAGGCCTAAGTACAAATGAAGGCTATGAAGCCAAACGCTTGCAGGACATTAGACAGGCATTAAAAATATTTCCAAAATTAGTATTAATTTATAAATGTATGTCCAAATTACGAGTCAATCTGTGTAATTAATGTATAATTAAATGCATGTCAAAGTCACGAGTCGATTGATATAATTACCAATAAAAGGGCAAGTTTTCTATTGGCCTAAGACAAACCCCTCTAAGAGTGTAAGCCCACGTGCTAGTTGCTACAATCGTCTAACCCTCATCAACAATCAAGCCTGGCTTATTACTCCGTAAACAAATGTAAGATATATGCTAAATGCCTATGTCTTGGGCAAAATTAATATCTCAACGACTAACAACCTCTCAATGAATTGAACATTATGGGCCACGCCACAGCCATATAGGGCCAACGAAAGTAACATGCCCATAAAACCCAATTCAAAAATTCAAAGCAAGGTTTGATCTTCATCATTCATGCAACATTGATATTCCAACTGAGCATAAGATAAGATAAGACATTTATCTCTAGTCTAAGTAATGTTGTTGCCAAAATAGCATCAGTACCCAAGGATTACTCTTGCTGCAGCCTCCATCCCAATATTAACTCTGTGCGCAGAAATCAGGTCATCGACCTAACCCGATCAACCACTATTTCTCAAACAAAGCCCAAATCACCATCAAACAACTACTACCCGAACCCGACGTTACTTATGGATGGAAACAAGTAGCCTAGGTACAATACTTATGGCACATGATAAAACGATAGCGATATTAATTACATGTAAATGTCGAGTATCACACACAAATAACGTACCATCTTAAACTATCCGTGCCACATTGCCTATTGCAAAAGCAAGGAAGGCCTACATGTTTATTTAACACTACTGATATGATGATAACCACATTATTGTGAAAGGCAAAGCTGATTTAGATAGATGAGCAATTTTAATGAAAATCCATTAATCAATGTAGTTATGAGGATAGCAACACCATAGCTAGGTAGAAATAAATGTGTGGTGCCACTTGCCTAACCTCCGGCTAGTTGCGTTACATTTCACCATTAAACGTATAATAACAATAATAGTCCTTTAAAATAATTGTACAAAATTAAGACTTGTTTTTTTGTAACAACTCGATCTTTTATTGTCATTATTCAAATGTCATTAGTTTCACAGAAATTACAACTAAAAATAATCGATGGTAATACATTAACATATACCTTCCTAAAAACTCATAAGGGCGCGAAGAAATTCTTGTAAAATTGACAAAATTAAGCAGACATGAAGATAAAACTTAATAAACCTATATGATGAACGCAATTCTTCTAAAATCCTGTTAAAAGACAAAGTATGAAACAAAGCTCCAAATCAAGGCTCCATAAAACATTTGAGCAACCAAACATCCCTTGCCCTTTCCACTATCACTAGTTTCCTTGGCGCTCGCTCCACCACCACCACCTCCTCCTCCTCCTCCTCCAGTGGACTTACCTGCGACACAAGATCAGAACTTTAATAATAAACTGCCTTTCCTTTTTGTTTTACTTTTACTTTTTTGTGAGACAATTACCGTTAAACTAAAAATATTCATTTAGAGACAAGGGAGCTGAGCAAAATAAATAAAAAAAAAAAAAAATTAAATACAAAGTACTGTATAAAATAAAATAAAATAAAATAAAATTTTAAATAAGCATGTGTTAGGTGGGCAGATTTGATCTTTCATTCATGATGCTAATTGTGGGTTATTATTAGATTAATTCTGTACAAATTTAAAAGTGGCAGAAAGGTTAGAAAAGGAAAAAGGAATCAAAGTTTACCACTAGAAGCTGGAGTCCCACTGGTTGGAGGAGCAGCAGCAGCAGCTTTAGCAAAATCATTGAAGACCTTAGCCTCTGGAGAATTGGGTGCCAAGTGCAGAAGTGCTGTTCAACCACAAAAATATAAGGAAATATTAATTAAAAATATAATGATATACGAAGTATACTCTAATAATTTTTTCAGCTCCTTTTGTCCTTCCGTATCTAAAAAACGAAGAACAAATAGACACGGAGGGAGTACAATTCAAAGGGCTAGAACGATAAGAAGCAAGAAATAGATATGTACGCGTGCGTACCTGGACATTCATCAACACTAGCATTATCAGTGGCATGACATTCCTTAGGTAGACTTAGAGCCAAGGTAGAATTAACCTTTAATCCGAGGCTAGGATCGTCACGGTCCTTAACAAGGATACACAAACATTTCTTGCTATCCTTGAGCACTTGTTTGAGACCAGTACAACAATCTTGTGTAGGAGACTTAGCCTGACCACCAACATAAGGAAGACATGTTGCTAACCCAACTAGTTGATTTGCACACTCTTCTTTATCCTTGTTTATGTCACAACTACACTCACTTACTAGCAACAACACTAAAATTGACAATAAACCTACTTTCCTATGTATTCTTGCCATTTTTTTGTGTGTGTGAAAACTGAGGTATAATGAAGAGATAAATAACACTCTTAGATTGAGACGTTATTTAGCTTTTGTGAGTAGGGTAGTAGTGCTCAATATAATGGAGCATGGTGCTTTATAAGTGTGCCCATATTAAAATGTTAGTCCATGTCACCAATTACAGGTGGCAACTGTAGAGATAGAAAGGACAAGCAATTAGCCAATAATAAATGCAATAACCCCATATACCCTCTTCTACTCAATTTTGCTTCACCTTATAATTACAAGTTTGAGTATTTTTCGAAATTCATTTCATAGTCCCGGTGCTAATAATTTCTATAAAACAAATTGACAATTTTGCAAAGAAGAGAAAAAAAATAAAAAATTCTCGGTTACATTTTCAATTCACATCTCACAAATAAAAGTGTGCAAATAATTTATATGAATTCCAAAAACATCAATTCTTGTTCTTATATATTGACCAAAAAATATCAATAGCGCCTAATTAATTCGGTGTGGCTGAGAAATTATTAAAGTATATAAGCAATGGTGCCTTGGCAAGTATGTGTTGTTAATAATATATTAGTGTAACGGCTATCTAAAAAATTGAATTTAAATAATGAAGAAGACAGTTTGGCTTCCACATATCAAATTTTTTTTTTTTGGATATTAATTAGTTATTGTTAGAGGACCAACTCAACCAAAAGTTTAAGCTGATGGTTGAGGCCCAGGAATATGTTTTATACCCCCTCACACGAGAGCCCGTTTGGGCTAAAAGTGTGGATGCAGCATGGGCCCGACCTCCTCATACCCAGCGCTTAATATTCTACTTGAAAGTGGGGGGTGGATGAGATTCGAACCCGTGACCTTTATGTCACGTTGGCTCTGATACCATGTTAGAGGACCAATTCAACCAAAAGCTTAAGCTGATGATTGAGGCCCAAGAATATGTTTTATACTCTATCAGTTATACACGAAGTATGACTTCTATTATTAAGTGTATTTAACAATAATGATCTGAGGACGACCCACGTCAAAATAAATCATTGTGACCACCCAATCGTCAAAAGAAAATATTGTCAATTCATCATCACAATTCATAGCATTATCTATGTTAGGAGGGATGGACGGGGTAGGTAGTGCCTTAATGGGTCTTGTGAGAATTGCAGTAATTCATATTCACGTTTGACATTTCTACTATGGTGTGTAAAGCAAAAGAAATTCAAAACATATATATGCGCACACATGTACGAATGTTAATGGTTTATACGTGGGTACGATTTGATCTCACAGAGGTGGAAGGAGGGCCACTAACAATCTAACCACTAGACCAACATTGATTCTCAAAAATATAAATTCTAATAGTCTTATATAGATATATGTATTTGATACTACGACGGTTTTTATGACTTATAAGTGACAATCCTAACGATACGATTTTGTTATAGATAATGAAAAATATTTTTGTCTTTTATACACGCAAAAATGCCAAAATGTATGACTTCGTTGTGTCCTAGAAGAAGGGATCAATCAACGTGGAAACCAAAATATAGATGCTCCGTAGCTCTAAAGGTAAAAATTAAGTCAATACCAAAGGAAAGATGTTTGTCCAAACAACCCGTGAGGCCGTGATAAGATATTTGTCCAAAAAGTTTTACTGTTTTATGGCCGCATTAGACAAATATGGGTTGATTCACTTAATTGATTTCAACCACAAACATCCAAATAAGTACGAGTATTCGCTCATTCAAAAACAACAAAAATGTACTCTTAATAAAAGAGTTTTATCTCCGTCTCTAATTTTTTTTTTTTTTATTATTATTTTTTTTACACTAGTCATTTTCTTTACAAAAGATTTCAAATGTAAAATATAAAAAGATCGGAGTAAGAAATAACACATAGCGAATTCCACTAAGTATTAATTGACACGGTCATAAATTTTCAACCTTTTGTTCAACCACCACCCGATCACCACCCTTAGACCCTCACCAGACCACCTAGCCATTGCTCAACGTCTCAACTTGACCAGCGGCCACCTGCCGACCTCCACTAGTGACACCCAAACTAAACCTTTATTTATACCACCACCAACATGTAGGTGTCCACGAAAGCATTGTAGCCCCCACCTAAGTCGGTGCTGCCACCTGCCCACCCCTACTAGTGCCGCGTGTAATTATATTCATTTGAATGATTTGATTGAAAATATTTACAATTTATAGCACATAATTCATACCGTATTTCACTATTTCAGGGCAAACGTTTTCCCTTATAATAATGGTAGCTTTCTTTATTACAAAATTTAAGTAGAGTCCCATTTGTTTAGCTTTTTTTGGGTGGATTTTTTAACTTCCTGATTTCAAAAGCATAGTGTTCATAAATAAAAGTATTTAAAGTACATTCACCAAGGCTGTGAAATTAATGTAATACACTAAATTAGGATTCTCATGTTCATTTCTGTTAGTAAAACAGCTAGAATTAGTACATAATCCTTCCCATGTGATGAATTTATAGTCACCAAATACGGAGTACTATTTTACTAGAAATGACTCGAGTATTATAAACAGACTTTGTTGTAAAATTACGTAGTATATGTCATAACCTTAACTATGAGGAGTACGTAATAAGGACAGCGTGACAACTAACTATGATACAGATGGAAGACATTGAATAATTTTGATTGTCTATTTTGTCCACGTCCTTCAAGTAAATCTGGTGCATGCATTTTCCTCAAGTGCGTACAGAAACTTCCATATACAAGCTGCATATCCTATATATAGAATTTATTCATAAGTATCTTCTTTCACAATAAAACTCTGCTATGAGAAATGACGAGTTGGTATTCCATAAAAAGGGAGGGTTGGGGTTGTTTAAATTGAATGCTAAGATGGAAGTAACAGTTGGGAACGTTTCATTAAATTAAGTAGTTGCTATAATAATAATGTACCAATCATGAATGATCATCTCAGACAACCATGCATTATTATTACCATCGGCCATCGCAGCTGGAGTAGCCCAATTTGCACCCAATCTTCATTTAATTCTAGCTATATATGTACCCTCGTCTATAATCTAAATTATATGGTACGGAGTACATACTTTTTCCGTTCCACTAAGATGTCCGTTCTTCAGTCCAAGAATCATTCGAGTTTAATAAGATAATTTTGGAACAAAAATTTATTCAATCTACAACTAAGAACATGAAAGAATAATATTTGCTCAAGGTCATATATGCGCATAGCAGGATTCAAATACGGAAACATTATTGACTTAATTCTATTAAAATTGAACATTTCATGATATAAAATTACTCATTATTATGCTACGTACAACAGCTCGATCGATTTGTACACTAGCTAAACACCCAAAAAACTTATTGACAGAAGACCCTAGCTAATGTATACGGAGTAGAAAGGAGAGTCGTAGACGCATCTCCCCCTAGGAAACATCATTAAGACAGTAAGACGAGACACCCTCGAGTAATGACAAAGTTACGAGCATGTCCAGAGTTTTATTTGTGAAATAATATTGGACTTACTGAGTACAGTGAGAAAATCTGGGCCTGGACACTTCATGGGCAATAATATTGGACATAAAAATGGGCTGGACATGACAAAGATGGAAACAAATTTGATTGTTAACCTGCCATTTTTTTCCATAGCCCTATCATACTTGTATGTACTACTATAATCCTATGACCAAGAGGCAAGAATTAATGTGCATAAATGAATTATTGAATTTGCTGCATAAGAATTTGATACTTTGATCAGAATAAGAAGCTTTATAGATATTAAGATTATATGCAAAACAATATACTACGTAAGTAAAGATAAGAGTAATTGATTAGAAAGTCAGTGTCAAGTATCAAAACACTGATAATTTAAGGGAACCAACATAGCTAATAATCACTAGACTAATTAGTAATTATACTCCGATTCGTAGCTAATAATCACTAGACTAACAATACTCCGATTTATAGCTAATAATCACTAGACTAACAATACTCCAATTTATAGCTAATAATCACTAGACTAACAATACTCCGATTTATAGCTAATAATCACTAGACTAACAATACTCCGATTTATAGCTAATAATCACTAGACTAACAATACTCCGATTTATAGCTAATAATCACTAGACTAACAATACTCCGATTTATAGCTAATAATCACTAGACTAACTATACTCCGACCCAACAAGCTAAGCTGATACTCCGATCCAACGTATAGTAATACGCTTTAATTTAGACAAGCTAATAATACATACCCAGTAGCAACTAAAAAGTAAATACCCTAAAATTAATTAAATAACAGTCCGGATATATATGGTTATATACCATCGTTGAAGAGGTCAATGTAATAAAGAAGAATATCATGGTACAACTGACCAGGAAGAAAAAAGTTAGACAATTTAGGTCGATCTGCTGAAACAATTCCTCCATCCTCTCCGAATACAATGTATGACAAATCATGGCCGACTACACCCTTGGGAATTACGTGATTATATATTTGAAGTTGGCGATGAGGATCAGGGGGGCATATGAGCCATTGCATTGTGGAGTCCCAAAGAAACGACATTCTAGGATCCGATTCCTCTTTAGTAAACTTCAAGTCACCTGAGAAGACAGGTGCGAACACCAGAACTGTATTGGAGGAGGAATTCATGTAGTGTTGTTTATATTCAGCACACCATTCGTTCATCCCCTTGATTATAACTTTGAATTCAGACTCCTCGGGATCAAAGTTGGCAATGAAAAGCAGGACTTTTTTCCCTTGAAGGTCTCTGAGATGCACATGATGACCTTGTTGGGTAACAAGGTAGTAGTTTATACTCGGAAACAGCAATGACTCCAAACTCAATTTAATAAGCCTGGTAGTCTCCTGGTGGGCGAGGGCTTCAGCAGAGTAGGGATACAAATCATGGACAGTCTCCAATGTAATAGCATCAGCTCCCTTGAGCTCCACAAAACGACCTTGAGGTCCGACAATGATGAGCTCATCCCTCTCAGATTCGTCGCAAATAAGCCACAACTTCCGGAATGTAGAGTCATTCAACGGCGATTTCCACCAAGATGATATCCCTCTACCCTTCAACACAGCATCAACAGAGTCCATGTAATGTTGCGGATCATCCGACAAGGAGACGTAGACTAACACAATCTCCAATTCGCGGTTCTTGGAGCGACTCTCTTGATACACCCGATTCACGGTGTCTAACAACTGGCCGTTGAGGTAGAGGTATAACCCCACAAGCTTATCGGTGAGTTTGGAAACAGAAATGGTGTCGGTGGCGGCAATGTTAGAGAGGCCATCAGAGAGTTTAAGGCTTAAGAGATCCTCAAGAGGCAAAGGTCTAGCACGAGACTTATTGAAAAGATAATTATCAAGGGTTAATATCCAGTTTTCAGTGAAGGGTAAAGATTTAATTCCATGACGTATGAGGAATCTACAGGAAGATTGTTGCAAAACGACTCCACTGGGATCTAAAATAAGAGAGTCACTTGAAAATTCAAAATCAGAATCATCCAAAGGGACAGCGAGACAAGAGGGCAAGGAAGATAGAAAGGAATAGAAAAGCTCGGAATCGTGTTCGGACCCGGGACTCATCTTAGCAACAACAACCAACTGAAAATTAGACCACTTAGAAGAAGCATGTTTAAGAGCCCAGTATATATTACCTTGTATAGTGAAAGATTCAAGAGGAAGGTCAAAGCGACAGATCATGATGTATTTACCGGAGAGGGGAAGACTGCTTATCTTAACTCGATCACCGTTTTTGTCAACTAAGAAATCACGGATGCTGCTCGACAACAATGCTACTATGTCCGCCTTTTCGTCTACTTCTAAATTATCATCCATCCGACGATGTTTGGCTTTTCGAAAAGACTCATATTCCGATTCCGATTCCGATTCCGATGAAGACGACGACAGTGATAATTCTGAAGATGAATCTGTTCCAGATGGATCTGATTCAAAAGAATCCAATTCTTTAGCTGATTTATCACCACCAATATCTAAATAGTTTAACATTTTCAATTCCAATTCTATTGATTTCTCAAACACCACTCTCACGCTTTTCTTTACTTTGCTGGACAGTTTTAAGGGACGAAACGGCTACAACACTACTTATATGCTTTGCAGCTTAGGGTATTCCTTCAACAACTTTCTTGTATCAACATAGATATGGGCCCCCAAAAACTAACTTCAAACCCATTAATCACAACATCACCCAAAGCCTCTTTACCACCGAATAGTATTAATACTTGACTTTTTTTCACTGTTTATAAACTAATTTGACTATCATTTTTAAGTAACATATAAAACAATATATCAAAAAATATATTATTAATAGATATTTATACTACTACAAAGTTATACAATGTACGAAGTATATTTGTTTTCAAAATATATATATATATAATTATACTTTTAATGCATAAATTTCACGTGCGAATTAACTACAAACTAATATTTAAACTCAGGCGATGCCCCGGGTCAATATAATTTATCTAGTTAGTAAAATTGGTATACATATTAATATTTTGCATCTTAAGAGAACATAAAATATCATATAGCTTGGTTATAAAATGTTCACCTCTATAATTAGAGGTTGTGTCTTCAAATCTTGTGAAGAACATATTTTTTTTTTAAATATAAGTGTGTGGCATGCAATGGAAAACATATGGAAGACTTTCATAGGAACGTCTTTTAATAGATTAGTATAAATATATAGGGAGAATATAGTAGAGCTAATCAAATATGGCCCGACCTAGGTTTGGGCGGGTTCTAGGTAGCTTATTTCAGCCCGATTTTTAAATTTTTTGGGCGGGTTTTGGAAATGCATTATTTGCTATTTTAGTGTTTTTTTTTGGCCTGGCCTAAAATGGTTCTAAAAGCCCACACGCTTCGGTCATTAGGCAGGTTTGTGCATGAAATTTTTGGCCTGAAACTAGAAGCGACCCGACCCAATGATTGGGTTGCTTTTTAAGGCTTCGTCCCGGCCTAACCATAGATCAGATCTAGAATATAGCTCCAAGTGTTGCTCCTCTACTTAGCCTACGGACTTGAATAAAATGTCCTTTATTACAAGATTGGTTGGGTGAGAGAGGAACCACCAAAATTACCACCCGGACAAAGCACGTCAATCGGACCACTACCACCTTACGCTCAAGAGGAGATAGTGGGAGTGTATGTGTTTGCTAATTAGGGTTTATATTGTGTAAATTGTAAAACCTATTATCTATAGGATATTAAAAGGAACAGGAATATGGAGGATTGAACCCTCAACCTCTTATAACAACGATAACCATTTCACCATCTAAGCCAATTATCAAGTATATTAATAATATGTAAAAAAATTAGAGAAATTCTCTTTGGTAATTACGAACTTTTATTTTTTTATCACTGATGAAGTCTAAATATTTTGATTATCAATGATAATCACAAATTAATACTAATAAGCAAATGGTAACATTAATGATAATAAAAAATAATTTATAACAATATAATTATTATAAAAAACCCCTCCCTTACCCATATGGCCATATAACCACCAGCCAACCACCACCCTCTCTCTTCCCCTCTTCCTAATTAAGCCGCCACCTAGAACGTCCCACCCCCGGTGACCCACCTACACTACCTGCTAACCCCCTCCCTTTCTCCCTTACCACGTCGGCAGCTTCATTCCAATCATTAAGTTAGGGGTTTTGGTGTTGTTGCTTCTTCTCTCAATTCATCGAGCTTCCCTCTCTTTCTTCCTCAACCTTAACTGATCATCAATGGCGAAAACCCCATCTCCCATTTCAATGTGATGTTGTTTCAAACTTAGTAGTTTCATTCAATCAAGAGCTAATTAAAGTTTTTCCCACTTTTCTCTATTCATCAATTTTGTTTCTAAAAGACGCAATTTCTGAGTCGAATTGTATCCCACGCGCAATTCACCTTCATGTTACTACAGTAGTGCGAGTATATTGTAAAAGCATTTGTCAGAATTCACCCCAATCGGTTCCCCAAATTTCAAGCTTTTTACAAATTCCAAAGGTTTCTCAAATGAATCCGAAAATGGCGGTGGAAATCTTCCAAGCACTAGGCGAAAAAAGCATTTGGCCACCGGTTCAAAACCCCCTTGTGCCACCGGTTTTGAACCGGTGGGCATTTGGGGGGTGGCAATATTTTTATAAAAGCCACCGGTTCAAAACCGGTGGCAAAAACAAGGATTGCCACCGGTTAACCGGTGGCAATAGCACTTCCCGGTTTTTTTTAAGGGGGAACCGGTGCCAATAATGGGCAAAAAAAAATATTTTTTTTTTTTTTTTTTTTTTTTGCATTTTTTCCACTTAAATTGCTAAATAAACACTAACATATATATAAACTTACATATTTTCATAAATAAATGTTGTAATATTACAATTTTTGTCTAAAACATTAAAATAAAATACAAGGTTACAAACATATGCGAGACTTGTCGTAAGGAGCAGCACAGAAGCAGAATACCAGCACAATAGCAGCACAGAAGCAGAACACCAGATAAGGAGCAGCACAGAAGCAGAACACCAGCAGCAAAGTCGGCATATAGTAATGGACTGTAATGTGAAATCACCTTTTTAGACCTTGCGAGGCATCAGCTGCCTTGCGAGGCAGCAGCTGCACCAACAGCCTTGCGAGGCTATGCCCCTTGTAATTATACCAGATTAAGTATGGAGAATAAATGTACCACTTTCTGAAGTTGGTGAAGGTTTTAGTTCAGGCTTCCCTACTAGCTCGAATGCATAAGATAGAAATGTCAGAAAAGAAAAGGGAAATAGAAAGTCCTCACAACTGTGAAAGATGAGCACTACTAAATTGTAATTATCCATTTTATTATCTTCAAATCATCTAATTATATTCATCATGCTAAATAATGAGCACTACTAAAGATGTTGATTAAATTTCGAAATTAATGAAATTAATAACATTATGCTCACATAAGAAGTTTTCTGTCAACAACCAAACTAGTAGTGAACATCAAGAGACTATTACAAAATAGTAGGCCAAATTTGCAAATTTTGACAGGTAGATATGTAATGGACTGTAATGTGAAATCACCTTTTTAGACCAGTCATACAGATAGCACAACCTCAATATCACCAGATATTATGGGAGAATTAATGCTATTTCAACTCAAAGAACTACAGCTTCCCGCATTATAGATGATGCAACTACTACACAGTACACATACATGATGATATTCATCTCACACATTATATATATGAATAACACCTTGATATATATCACACATTCACACTATATGAATAATACCTTGACCTAGAGTACATGAGCGAAAATCAAATTCATGGTATTCCTCATTTTACATTGTTCAACTTTTTGGTTTGATCAACTTTTTTGGTTGTTGATCAAAGCTTCAGTAGCCACTACTCTAGTTCACTAGTTGTACCTACTATGTAGCACGCACTAGCCACTAGCTTAGGGACATTGTCAATTTGTCATTTTATAGCTCTAGTCTATGTACTTGTACATACCAGTTACCGAGTACTGCTAAAGTGTTTTTTCAATGTTTAACTGTTGCAATATTATTATTAACAAGCTAGACTACTATGCTTATAAGTTATAAGCTTATAACTACCTTAATTGTCAATGTGATCAGTGATTTTAAATCAATAATCTAATCAAAATATTGCTATAGATAATAATCTAATGAAAAAAACTCAAATCTATAGTATATAACTCGATCTTCCTCCTTAAAGTATCTTTTAAGTTTGCATTGAAGTTAATTTTGCCATTTTTTTTTAATATGTACATTCACATGCAAAGATTTTAATGAAAACTACACTACTGCTATGTCTCCTAAATTATGTTTATGTTAAGAAACACTACGTACAAAGTACTTGGTATACATGTGTTTATTTAAAAATAATAAGTTGGTTGTTAATGGTACCAAACTATCAATCAATTAATTAATATCAGTCTTGTTTATGTAAGATACAAAAGAAAAGTAGCATCTAGACAGTGAGTTTGATGTTACTTCATAAGTTATATGGTTAAACCGATGTACTTACTAATTTAAATTACATAATCACTTCATAATAATTGGGATCTACCTCGCTCTTTGCATGTACGTACATTTTCCAGGCTAATATTTCCAATAATAATAACTATTTTATTTTGTGAATATATTTATCAAAAAATAAGATACCTAAAGCATTATACACATAGAGCTAAAGTACGTCTTCACAAATTTATACGGAGTATTTTGTTAATTAAAATTTTAAAGAATGCATATGTTTATTTACAATTGTTGTACTTTAAAATTCATAAACAATTGCTGTGTAGTTTTACTTTCATTTATTATTTAGAGTCGATTATTGTTGAACTATTTTTTTTTTAAAAAAATCAGTGTGACTTCTGTTCATGTTTTTTGCAACAATACACATACATTTATCTAAAAAGAAGAGACACCAATATTAATGTCTATGTTGTGTAATTGTGCTTTAAAATCTAATTTAGGAAGTATTTTTGACATGATTCCTTTTACTTAAAATAATGTCACTATGTTCCTTTTTATTTTTTATTTTATTTTATTTTTATTATTAGTCCTTATGATCAGTGATCATGTATCTATATATATATATAAGCAACAACACTTCACATCAAAATACAAACTAAAAAAATTCAACGTAGTCACACGTTCTCATTTTATGTGATAATATGGCTTCTCCTTCCCTTTCAAAAAAAAGGAAAAATATGGCTTCTCCTTCTTCTCCACCTCCACCTTTTTACAAACTAACAATGGCGGTATTTAGCTATTCTATACTATCAATTTATGCATACACTTCTTTGTAATTTTTTCTTTAGATTCTCTTTATTTTTAAGAAAAAATGTATGTATACGTGCATGCATGCTTCTATTATACCGCTTTTATAATGTTTTCTTTATATACTCTCTATTTCTTTACATAGTTTACGTCACTCATTATTTTGTAGCTCCCATGGACTCATTATGAGCTCCAAAATTCCGACCAAAAGGAAAACCAA